GGGTGCTCTCCAGAATAGGCTGTCAATCCTTGGCATTTAGTGTAGCCCTAGGAGGACCTCCCTCCATCTTCTTAGGTTCTCCCTTCCTGGGGAGATGTTTTCGGTCATGCAGGTGGGCTTTCACCCTCGGAGAAGGTCTGCACCAAAACAGAGGGATGGAGCACTGAGTTTTCTTAAAAGATTGAACAACACACACTTCTCTACTTTCTGGACCTAGGGAGCTAGTTATTATTAAGTAACTTTATCTTTTTTTTTTTTTATGAGTGGGATAAAATTACTCAGAGGATTAGGAATAGAGCTGAGATGTGGGCAGGGGCTAAATGGTGGGAGGAGCCGAACAGATAGCATGGAAAACTAGTGGATCTCTAGATGAGCCTATGCAGACTGCACTAAACCGTATAGTTTTTGGTGGAGTGGCCAGAATAGGAGAATCTGGACAATAATTTTTAGACTGTGCTTTCAAGGGACATAGTTATAGGACATAACTTGGTACTTGAGAGCCATTATACTAGTAGACTAGGCAATTTGTCTCAATTTCAGACATGAATTTTCATTGTTCATTTACCCTTACGCCATTCTCTTTCACTTTTCTCTTTTCCATTAATACCTTCAAACATTTATAACTACTTACACAATAATTTAAAATAATAATAATAATAATAATAAACACCTCCTAAATTATTCGGGTAAATGTGTCTTTGTTTCTAAAAGAAGCTAGTATTTTTTCATGTGACCATTTTATTTAAGCGGAAAAAAATGGCCTGAAACAGAATTATTTGACTATTGGGAATTATTTTGTTATGCAGAACTGTTACAACTATGCTTTTAGTTAAAATTACTATCTTAAAAATGTGTTGAAAATATGCAAGGAGAATGTTAGATAAGACTTCACTTTGAACACGTTGAACAAGTCATCCTCAGACCTACTCCTCTGAAATTTTTAATAACTGAAAGGTGAAAAAATGCGCATTTATGTTGACATTGGGTTTGGATGAAGCAGATAGAGGTGGGAAAAAATGAGCTGCAGCTGAGACATAAGATACCTGTGTCCGTTACTAACGTAACTCGGGTCATGTTATAAAATAGACCTCTGGTAACTGTTTCTAATTTTTGCAGATCAGGTAATTCAGATTTAAGTGACACTTTTTTTTTTTTAATTTGGCAGTACTTAACAACAGTTATTCCCTATGAGAAAAAAAATGGACCACCATCTGTTGAAGATCTTCAAATATTAACAAAAAGTGAGTAAAGACCAAACTAAACTGTTACTTACCTTTTGCTGATTCTAAATACTGATTTCAGTTGGCTGGCTACATTGCTGTGGTTATTGTTTGTTTTATTGATTTAGTAAATGATGGATTTCATCCTTTATTCTTTAGAGAATGAAACTATAAATGGTTCTGACATCTAACATAACCCTAAATCTAGAGTTGATTTATGGGTTTTATTTTTTTAATTTATTTTCTGGCCTCTTAAAATGTGTACAACTTGAACTTTTGGGGAAAAATGTAACTTGATTCTCCATTACCTTTTGTATATTTAAGAACATACTCATTTATCAATAAGTAAGGTCCTTCTTGCATCTTATGTAAATATCACTGAGTAACTGAATAGGAAAAATTTAGGAGAAGTATGGCTCGCCCCCTCTCTCTTTTATGAATATAGACCCCCTAGACAGTAGTTATAGGTAGACCATAAATTGATAGTGATATTTTAAGAATATTCATTCATTGAGCAAACATTTAGTAAAGACCTACTCTGTACCAGGTCGTGTTCTGGGCACTTGGGATACTTTAGTGAACAAAGCAGACAAAAACACTCTAAGTCTAACAAAAGTAACTTGTCAGACTTAACTATTCATGGTATTGAGTGTCTGTGATAGCCATAAATGAGCCCTGAGTTCTGGTTCTGTTCCTGTCATTTAGAGCAGCGGTCGCCAACCGGTGGTCCATGGACCACTGGTGGTCTGTGAGGTCTGAAAGGTTGGCGACCACTGGTTTAGAGGGATATCCTTAGACGTCACTTACCCTCTCTTGGTCACAGTGAAAGACGAGGCTGAAAATAGTTGCTCCCTTTACCTCATAGTAAGTAAGTTAATGTACAGGGTGGGGCAAAAGTAGGTTTACAGTTGTGATTATGCAAAACATACTTAAAAACATTTAATGCTTAAATATGGATAAATTAAGTGATGCCAGCCAGTCTAAAATAAATAATTAAGAGATGAACTGGGTGGACAGCCCTCTAGTTTTGAGGAAGAACTTAGGAATTTTGAGTGTCCAAGATTACACAGGGGAATGGTTAATTACAGGGCTGGTCTCTTCATTCCCCGTCTGCTGTACTTTTAATGATGCTGGCTTTTGGTATGTGATTTTATATAGAATGGAAGACAAATTTAAAATATGATTGGAAGCAGAAATACTGGACATAGTAGCCCTCTAAGATGGGACCATAAATACCACCTAGAGGTTAGGAATTACTGAGAGACCCCGCCTTCTCAGGTCAAGGACAAACATTTACTTGGTCACACCAAGGCCATCAGAATGCCCTTGGGACGATTCTTAGGTGATATCTGCATCGTTTGAGGAGCTTGGACTCTTTGGGTGAGTGCACGTGTGTAGGGTGCATAAGTGAATGTCCAACTTAATGTAGATATGAGGACAGGAAGGATGACCTTCACTTTGAAAATAAAACAGTGGGCATCTGAGAACTTTGGGAGGACCTGAGCCTCTGCTCCCACCACCTGCAGATGGCAGCCACAGGAAAGCCCCTCAGATTTCCGATAGGATGAGGCTGATTCACCAGGTTCCTCAGGAGAGGAGGAGCCGAACAGATAGCCTGGCTGCTTCATGGAGTCTGGCCTTCATTTTGGTCTCTTTAAAAGTTCCAAGAAGGCTGGCAGATATGCTCCTTGAGGACAGCTCACTGTTCATTTGTCTGTTTCTCCAGCTGTGGCATCTGCAGCTCTAGGTTCCTGTGCTCTGAGCTCACAGACGTGCATGTGATGGGAACCTGCTTTTAGCCTTTATGGCAAAGCTGGGCTCCGTGCGAATAGCTGGGTTTCTCTTCCCTCCTCCACTGTTCATGAAATCGGGGAAATAACTCCCAGGGAGCTGGAATATCCTGACCTGAATTCCTGAGCATTTGCAGGTGTATTCCCTTATTGAGAAGATAATAATTTGCATGAATTGGTTATACCATAATGAAGATTAAGGCTAAGTGATAGAAATTAAATGATATTTTGGTCTGAATTTAGAATTGTTGCCTTTTCCTTCTCTTTTGTTTCCTAGTTCTTCGTGCCATGAAAGAGGACAGTGAAAAGGTTCCGAGCTTGTTAACTGATTATATACTGAAAGGTGAGTTTCATAATGGCTTCTGTGCAATGGTTGGCAAGTTGTGATTAGTCAGTAAATGCATCGTCTTGCTAATAGATTAAAAGTAACTTTCAAAAGCACAACCTTCATTAATTTCATTTGTGCTGGGTGAGGATACATGGCTTAATTATGCTATCAACATTATAAATTATGATTATGTAACATTTTCCTTTACTTGAGGTCCTGGGCTAGAAATCATTTCTACGGCTAAATTATAAACATCGAGGCGGGCAGTGGAAGAAATACTAGTAGTATGGAAATATTGCCATAAGTATGCATAATTAGAGCATCAGCTGTTGACACTGGGAGGGTTTGAGAAGGTGGCCTCTGCCAGCTTGGGGACAGTAGGAAGAGGACGGGTTAGTGAGGATGCATGAAGGAGGGAGCAATCAGTTAACCGTTCCAAAGGACTGTAACAGGGACTGGTGTAAGGGACAGGGAGGGGCGCAGGGAAAAATGAAAGGAATGGACTTGCATGAACCCAGGATAGTGACAAGTGAGCCATAAATCTTAGGAGCAAGATCAAGACCACACAGGATGGGAGCAGTGATGGGGCAGATGATCGTTGGAGGAGTTAATGAGATTGCCTGCTTTGCTCAGGGAAGAGCAAACTTGGGATGGTAAAGAGGGGACAGGAGAATTTAGTTACAGGCAAAACTACCGCTTTTCAATGAAATTACGTTTTGAGAAGTAGCAGTTATTCAGGTGACAGATTTTCAAAGCATCACAAAGTGTATCCTGTGGTATTTGGTTCACTTTCAAGAGCAACCTCTTCTGGTAACTTTTCTTTTTGGGAGTTCTCTCTCTCTCCAGTTGTTAGCTGAATTTAAGGAAGGTTGGATTTCTGAGAGGTTAGATAACCTGAGGGACGTTGCCTCAACCATAGCTTCATGGAGGGAATCTCAGTGGTAGAAACCAGGAGTGCAAAGGGAGTAATAAGAGTTTCACCTGTAAAGAGACTGAATTGATGGGAGCCAGCCAGCCATTAGTTAACGGAGAGTAGAAAAGACATTCTTTTTCATAAGCTGTTTTTCGATGGCAGGCTTTTTCTTCTTACATTCTGAATGTTTTAAAAAGAAAATCTGACATCTTTGTTTGCTTTTGTGCTATGCTAGCATTGGTATAAAAAGTGGATTGTTCTGAGGTTTGCTCTTATATATGCGGTACAGGAATGAGATGAACACGAAGACATGTCAATTTTTAATTATCGTGGGTGCCCAGGGCCTTGCCGTGCGGGGCAGAGAGAGGAGGAGCTTCTGAGGCATTCTCTAGCTCTTTTATCCTCCGACCTCATGGAGGAATTTATGAACCAGAGAACAGTGCTTGGGGGGAAGTGATTTCTACTTGTTTCCTCTAAAACCCAGGCTGTCCTGTGAACCTGGACACCGCGTGCCTCAGGGAAGCAGCACCCATCCCTCTGCTCCCCGCTCGGGCCCTGGCTCCTCTGAGCCCGGGGCTCTGTGCAGTACCCTCTGCTGAGCTGCTCGTGCGCAAGTTGTGGTTTTGTCCTTGGCAGGACTGGGTGGAAATGAAGCTGGGGTTCAGATGAAAGTGGTGGTACTTGTCCAAGAGAATGAAGGGGAGAGGAACGCTCAGGTGTTCAAGGGCACGGGAAGGTATGGATATGGGGCCAGTTTCCACCCATCCGGACAACCCGCCGCCCTGATGGCTCCTCCCCTCTGGGACCAGCAGAACATTTATCTGCCTGGCAGGTGTTGCTCAAGGGAGAGCTTGCTGTCCCTTTTCTTGGTGGGCTTTCTCTTCTCATGTTAGTTTAACACCAGTGACTGGGGCTTGGCTGCCTAAATTAAGGTAACTTTAATGTGCAGGGGAGAAATGCAAGGAGGCAGCAAAGTGGCCTCACTTGGCCTGAGGAAGATGAGACGGGTGCAGTAGGGGCTACCTGAGCGTCTGCCTTGCTCCCCGCCACAGCCCACAGTTGTACCAAAGGCTAGTAGAGTAGTTCGGCTGCCTCCGTGCTGATCCTGGACAGGGACCGAAGTGTGTGCAGACTGGCTCCTGTGGGAGCTCACCGGGGAGGCAGTTTGCTACGAGCCTCCTGGTACTGGGCTAACACGGGCTTCTCTCTCAGAGGGGTGCCCTCGAGACGTGGCCGTTTGGTATCTCATTTCTGGGCAGTGGGAATAAATATCTTAGGAGAACTTTCATTGTTGGGTGTAGCCTTTTAGAACCTTTCTTAAAATTGCTACTGTAGACCCTTGCATTAACAGCAAGTTCTCATTAGTTAAAGGTGTTTTTTATGTAGATGTGTAAATGAAATGAATGTGCTTCTTGTGTCTATAAAATACGCATTTCTATTGACGCTTCCTTTCTCTCCCTAGTCCTGTGTCCTACATAGGGCGGCCTCTCGCAGGAGCCGTCTCCCGTGGCCTGGACGCCGGATTTCACACAGCAGTCCTCCGAGAGCGGCCCCTCCCTCCTGCTAGCGGAAGCTCGGCAACTTGAACTTGGGTTTGTGACGCAGTATTAATAGACCACGCCTTCACTGATCCTTCGTATTACGAACCAAGAGAAACATGGCACTATTTTGAATTCTAGGGATATTTTTTTGTTAAATATGAACAATTATGAATTCTTCAACTTTGAGAGTCAGGGGGTGTAACATGAACTATGCATGTGCAGTTATATTTTTTATGTACTGACCATATGCCCATTTGAGGTTTCATGGCTTTCTAGATATAAACTACATTGAAGGACAGGTTAAAGCAGCGGTTGCCAACCGGTGGTCCGCGGGCCACTGGTGGTCCGCGAGGTCTGAAAGGTTGGCGGCCGCTGGGTTAAAGCATTGAGAGATTCATAGCACAGCTGTTCCTCAGTGACGGCAAAACCAACACTGATTGTTGTAAGAGAACCGTCAGTATAAGTATCAGTATTGTCCAGAGACGGAAACTTAAACTTGGGCTGTTGTCAGGATGAAACGGGAATATGTGTCATCTTGGTTTAATCCTCTGTTGGTGATGGTGTTAGAGGCTGCTGCGGCGTTCACCATGGATCAAATTTTAACCGTTAGGTTGCCATTTACTTTCAGAATCTTGTGCTGTTTAACTTTAGATGTTTGAGTTTTGTTTTACGTGTCTGTGGAGAAGTGTCCTTTAAAGGGAGTGTGTTTATCCTTAAGGTGCTTAAGAAGCCGTAAGCTGCAGCTTTGCCCATCCCCCACGGCTGTTATATCTTCACGCCTGTGTGCCTCCCCAACACTAACTCTAGAAACAGCTGCTCATGGATACATCACCAGCCATGAAGCACTTCTGCCCGTTCCAATCAAGTCAGTGCCCTTTAATAAACGTTGGGAAAAAGATAAAGTATGCCTGAGCGCTTCATTTCTATTTTCAGTTTTTGGTGTAGTTTTTAACCAGTTTTCTTCCCTTGCAGAGCTAGATTCTTCTTACTATGCACACATTGTCCATCACTTCAGGGCCTGAGCTGGGAAACCCCGATGGCCGCCTGACGGTAAGGAGTGTTGCGGGGGGTGGGGGGGATTTTTCTGGAATGATAGGAGCCCTGTCTTTCTCTGTCTGTGCGGTTGCTGAGATAACATGGTGAGTAAGAGTCTGTGTAGCCGCTTGTGACCCTGGAGGTTGTTAGACTGACAACCTGAAAGCAAAAGGAGAGCTTGTCTTTCTAATCCCAAATGTGGAGTCACTTGGAAAGTTACATGGTGTGTTTGTTTGTGGCCAAGAACCAAAGTGCTTGGTTCTTGAAGAACTACGGTACACGCCAAGTGCCTGCCATAGATCTATTTTATTCTTCAGGAAATTATATTTGTTTTTCTTTTACAAGAGCACAACAGGAACCAAAGTAAAAGAGTAATAGATACAGCACTCAGGATAAATCATATCTTTAAAATAATAATAAAAAAATTTACACCTTGTCCTATATCCTGTTAGTATTTTCATAATATGGCCATGATTGAAAAAGCAAGCATTTACAATTTTTTTGATAAAGACTTTTTATGCCAGGAATGGATTAATTGTCAACAAAATTTTATATTAATCAGGCTGATGTAAATCTTATTTTGGTAACATCATATCATTAACAAATTTATTTTGGAAATAGATAAAAATATTGCCCCTTGATAATAAATCTTTTTCTTTCTTTGATGCAAACAGCTAGAACACCTTTTTCTTTTTTTGATATTCTAAGACAAAGAAAATGGTTAATCTTCAGATTAATAAATTAGGACATTATAATAATAAATTAAAATTTTTTTTAAAGTTCAGCAATCTCTGTCCAAGTATTTACAACAATACTTGAAAGTTCCTTTACAAAACAGAACACATTTTCTTTTCACATTAAGCATACTGGGTATCTGTGTCTTTCACAACAAGCATTTTTAAAAGAAAAAAATCAATGCACAAATGGGTAATTAGTATAAAAGTGCTAAGAGCTGTTTGAAAAGTTAACACTATAGTATACAGTCAGTTATATTTGAGGCAAACTACAACAAACTTCCAGCTTATTTATGGACAATATTCCAGTAGTTGTTTCAAACAGTTGTTTGAAGAAAAAAAAAAAAATCCAGGAGCTGATTAGTGATGCAGATAAACTGCCATCAGTGTTTCTGGCCAGTGGAGCGAATTGAAAACCAACTGAAAGCAAATCCAAATGAGTCAGGAGATTTACTAAAGGAAGACCTTCTCCACAGCAGGTGTGATGGCACGGCCCAAGGCGTGTACGTACACACTCGCCCACACACACACCTTTCTTCCCGATTAAACTGCAGGTAGAACGAGATCTCATGTTATTCAAAAATTTGTAAGTGATCAAAAGTATTGATATGGAATGCCTGTTTGTCTTTGTTCTGGTTAAAAATCTCATAAAAATACATTCAACAGGAAAACATAAATTGTATGTGTATAAATATATATGTATATATTATATACACACGCACACAAATACTTTTTTTTTTGAAGCAAAAGATAGTTACATAAATATTCCTATAATTGCTAAAGTTTAAAGAGGCATATTTTTTTTGAGCTTCAACAAAGGTGCTTGAATAATATACAATTAAAATGAAGTAGTTTTCTATTTTGTAGAATCAGTATATAATAAGGAAAAAAAAATCCCCAATCAGTCTTTTTAAAAAGAAAAGTTTCTTCTTAAGCTAGAGCTTCAACAAAAACTGTGAACAACCAACAATCAAACAGAATGAAGCAACAGCAAACAATGAAGCGTAGCCCTGGAAATACCTGGCGACCTCCACCCCCCTCCGTGCCGCGCGGTCCTGGGAACAGCTCAGTGCTCACGCCAAGAAATGACTTTGGGTCCTGTTTACCTGCCGACTCTGCTAGGAACTGGCTGATTGGCTTGGAAGAAAACGAAAGCAGCAAAAAGTCTAACTGTAGATATCCTGAACAACCCGCTTCCCGGAAATGTGGTCCTCACATCTCCCTCGCCGCCCACGGCAGCTGTGATTAGAGGGAAGGAACTGTGGCTTTAGACCTGGGATGGCTATTGGAAGGTTCTGCCGCGCTCTCTGTGCTGCTAAGGTGGCTGCAGCGGCGGGATCACAAGGCCTTTGGCTTCCTGCTCACTCGGGCCCGAGCGCCGCAACCCCGCAGGCTCCAGAGCAACAGGAAGAGCATCCGCTGGGCCCCTGAACTGCTGCTGCTTCATGGGACTCTCCCCGAGCCAAGCTGACCAATGTCTTCCCAACACCACCCTCCCACCCACTTCCCCAGCCAAACTCGACTGTCCCCGCCCCCAAATATCTCTACCGCTATATTACAAGCAAATATGTCTTAGCAACTTGGAAAACTTTGGTTCTAAGAAAACACTTGGTCAGTCATCTTGAGGAAAAGTGGGAATGCTTGTTCTGCACACTGCCGCCGACAGAGCCCATCCCAGTTAGTTCTTAGCGCTGTACATCAAGTCACCATCCAACACAACCCACTAAGCAAGTGCACAAATTCTAGTTTACTTTTAAGAGCAGATTGAGTCGCTTCTGGCTTCTACCACCTCATCCGACTTGCCTCCCTTCACACCGTCTGGTAGAACTTGTCTGCCTGTAGATGGTTCTGTTTCTGCATGCTGTAGAAGCCGCTGAACCTGGCGTCCGGCTCCGCAATCCTGAGCATCCTCTGGGCACTGTCCCCCTGGGCGCGGGGTCCTTTCTTGGAGTCCACAGATACCAGCTGATTGCTTAAGGAAGAAGGCTATGCAGTGCGGGAAAGAAAAACCGCAAAGAATCAGCTGCTTTACAGATCCCACACTGACACAAATTTAGTCCCTAATTCAAGTGGGATAACAGCTTCACAGTAAGTACGCTGACGGGCGGACTCTCCGTGGAGCTTACATCTGTTCTGGTGCCAACTGCCGCTTCATGAGGGTACTGACTGACAAACTGTCTTTACAGGTGAAACGTCAATAAGTTATGCCAAATGGAGTGGGTGAAGGAATTGAGGGGAATGGGGGAACTGGTGAAGTGAGTGACATGACTATTTTCAAATCCTCGAAGGGCAGACTAGTACTTCAGAGGGTTGGAGAATGAGTGGAAGTTACGACAGGCAGAGACCATTCTGAAGCGCTCAGGCTGTACAACAGCCTGTGTCAGCCCCTCCACACCCTGTGGGGGCGGGGCTCCTTTCCCAGCACTGCAGAGGGGACTGTGCCTGCTCAGTCCCTGCCCCGTGTCCTGACACAGCATGTGCCCAGCGCATTTTTGTCTAAAGAAAATCGGAGGCAGGATAACCATCTAATAGACTTCACTGGGAGGGGTTATCTAGATGGTAAGTTGGATAAAATAGTTATTCAAGGCTGCTTTAAATTCTTAAGGTTGTCTGATTTTTTTTTCTTAGGAAAAAACTAAATGTAACAGGTAGAATCAAGGTTGGAAAGCATTACAATTTATTTCCTTTAATGAAAACGAATTGTCTTGCCTTTTAAAATAGGCAGATTTGACAACAAATACAGGGTGTCCTCAGAAAATGTATACACACACTAATTATAAAGGCAGTGTTTATTAAAATACGTTTCATTTTCAAAACTGAGCTATCGGCTGTTAACATGTGCATACATTTCTTGGGGACACTTTGTATACTCTTTCTCCCTCAATATGAAATCTGTCTCTCTCCCTTGTCTAGTATTACTTCACGCAATCTCTTCATCTCTCGCTCCCTTTCCCTCTCTGCTCGCCTCAGACACGTCTCTCTGACCTTTGACTTCTGTATATCCCATAATCGCTAGCTCTCTTCCCGGCTCTCCTATCACCCCCTCCCTTGATGATTTCTCTCCCATTTCTAAGTTGATAGATCACTGAGAAACACCAGGTGATCAGCTTTTAATTCCTTATGTAAGTACTTAGGGATCAATCCAGGAGGTTGGGCCAGTACCAGATATCTGATTGCTACAGCTTGATATGCACGTGAGGCCACGGAGAGCAAAGTAAAAATTTCACTGGCTGAACAATTCAAGGAAGTAATAAGCATGCAAGCTTTCCTAGTTTGACCACTCAAGAGGCTGAAACGTTCTCAGGACGATACCTTCGTTGGCGTTCGATACCAGCAAAGCAGGGGTATCCACTGTTTCTTCTGGTTGATGAGCAGGAATGCTATGATAATGGAGAGGCCTATCACGACGGGAACCACGACCGCGGCTATGCTGTCCAGTGAGGAGTCTTCCGCTGGGTGCCGCCTGTTATTATCTCCGTAATCTACCTTGAGATGACCCACATCTAAGAAAAATAAAAGGATTACAAGATTTATTATCTACACCGGAATTTTTAAGGATTATTTTAATTACATTGCAGACAGAAATCAGCAACTTGGTTTTCCGGCTAAAACATGATTCAGGTCTAGTGTTGATCTGCAGAGTTCTTAGGGATGGATGTAAAAAATACTCAGGTGAGGAGGTTAATAATTGGGCATGATGATGCTGTTCTAGCTAGTCAAGAAAATTCTTATCTAGACTTTAAGAAGTGACAAAAATTCAACTACTGAAAGTATTTTAATTTATTGGCTTCTAACATTTTAAAGGAAACATATTAGCTCTGTTTACTTGCAAGTAGGAGATTAGACAATATATATTCTTGGGCTTGGTAGGGAAATAGCTAAGACCAATTACTAAAGTATTAGTAAAAATTAAGCTAGAACCAAGAGCTTGGTGTTTTGATCAGTATTCTGGTTTACTGAGCTCTGAGCAAGAATACCTTTTCATAAATTTGCTGAAAAGTCACCAGGCCTGTTAGATCATTTTCCTGCCTTGTTATTAATGTACTGCACAGGGGACAATTGCTCGTTTTGCTTATATGCATGAAAGTCTTTCTGCTCCTTTTAATCATCCTCCTTGCAATGAATACTGCAGACAGAGATAACAGGAAGTTTTCTTTTGTTTCAAATAAACCACTGTAATCAGTTTGTCTAAATGCATCAAAGACCAGGTTAGAGCAAGATGCAGGACACAATCAGAAGGAGTTGCCCCTAAAATGTTCTAGAAACTCAGCTCACGAAGTAGCACATCTTTGTGATATTCAGTGTTTAAAAATCCATTTTTATGAATATGCTTCTTTGTGTATGTGGGGGATAGGAGGAAGAGAATTTTAGCCAGCGTAGGAGAAAAAAGGAACATTTATCAGCATCAAGAACAATGCCAACGGTAAAAGTAACATCGATGAACTCATGTTTTAAATACACAATGAATAAAAGGAATGAATTTTTGGCTTACCACATTTCAAATGATACTGGAAATTATTTTAGGAATATCTGTCACACAAGATTTTTAAAAAGTAAACTAAGGAAATCTTGGTGAAAGGAACATGAAACTTCAACTAGGGTCTGTTTATAAAATTCAGTCCTTAAGTTCTGTTCACATGCTAGCAGCAGGCCATAAAATTTAGCTTTGAGCCTTCCTAGCAGCCAAAGCAAAATGGAAATAAAGTATCATTAAGATTCATAATATCTTTAAGATTCAAACCAATCTGTTGCTTAGAAGAAGCATAAAATTCCCTGCTACTGACACATGAGGATCTATGTAGACCATAGGAGAAATTTTCTCAACATATTACAGTGAATAAGGCTGTTTTTATGACCAAAGCCCAGCACCTAGAACAGGATGTGGCACGGACTAAGCACTAGTATCTACTGACTGAGCGAGTATAAACATAATGGTAAAGCACCTCTCAGAACAAGTACACCGGGAGCCAATCACCGTGTCCAGGAGGCTTGCTCTCAGCATAACTTAGAATATCTACTAGTAGAGTAACAGACCATTAATCTCTCAAGCAATAAATACTGCTTCTTTCAAAACCTATCATAAAAATTGTATAGCAAGGATTTTGAAAATGTCCTTGGAGTAGACAGGAGACAGTACTGAGTTGTAGCTAAGAGCAAGTGTATACTATTTGGATCCAGGGATCTGCTTTTACAGAGAAGGCAATATTGACAGAAACGCTGCCTTGCTTTCCCACTTTACTGAGAGACAGAGTAACATCTCTCACACAGCTGAAAGGACAGAGCAAGGAAAGTATGGAGCATGGAATAAACCTGGCGAGTGGGACAGTCAACATGTAATACACCGAACTGTCGGAGTGAAAACGACCCAGAAGGAGAGGGTAACCTAATGCATGTAAACGCTCAGTACGGAACCCACGGGGACAGTGAATAATTTATAAGTCTATTCACACATGTAAATATCAGTGAGGGCTTGGAAATTCCACCTGGGCCAGGAACATACTCTGTTCCATCATCACTAAGTCTCTGAACATGTGGGGCCAGAAGGAGGCGGTTTACCCAGTGGCCTGCAGACTTTATTATTCGGGTGTCAGACGTGTTACAGCCAAGCAGGCCTTCTCTAGAGAAGTTATCTGAAGGCAGTTTTAAAAATGCAACAAGCCTGGCAGGAGTGGCTCAGCTGGTTGTACTAAAAGGTTGCCAGTTCGGTTTCTTCAGGGCACATACCTGGTTTGCAGGTTCGATCCCTGGTCGGGGCACGTACAGAAGGCAACCGATGGATGTTTCTCTCTCTCATCGATGTCTCTCTCCTCCTCTCCCTTCCTCTAAGCATGTCCTCAGGTGAAGATTAAAAACAAATTTAAAGTAGATGCTACCTAAGACTAGACGGGTACCAGCGGACTCTGGCACTTACCTCTGCGGAGATGGACAATGTCATTTTCACTAGGAGTGGGCCGCCTGGGAACCTGCACGTCAGTCTCGCCACGACGATTTACCTTCTCAATGGGCACATTGGTTGGTTCCGGGACATACATTTCTGAAAGACGGGACATTTTTCATAAGAGACGGCAGAGGGGCTACTATTGTTAACTGTTGTTTCCTCAGTCCAAGTGGATGGTGCATCCAGTTCAACACAACATGTGGGGACGTGAGAGACCCAGTTTCTGCACTGACATTACTGCTGGAGAGTCCCTGCTTTGCAGGGGTGGGAAGCATGTCTTAAAACCATTGGAAAGGAGGAAAAAGGGTTTTCTCTGTCAGGGTCAGACACTCTGCTTTTCATGGCAGATGGTGTTGACTATGGTTTTGGGCAAGCATTGGATTGGCTGAAAAGGAAGGATTGCTTTTACTTTCCATCAGCTAAATACTACACTCGAATTAACTGTTGCTCTTTAATCCACGAGTGCTGAATCATTTACATGTCACAGGAAGTGAAAAAATGAAAGCTTTTTCCACTCTTTATGCATTTCTTAGCCATTTTCCCCCAAACTCTCCCCCTCAATGGGAAGGCCCTGCTGTCTCGTTTAAGTCTTAAACGTCTGCGTGTTACCACTGGAACCAGGGTCTTCGGTAAATGCATTTCCGTCATATCAACACTTTGATCAATGGCATACTACAAACAAAACTTTCTGAGAACATTCTTGCTCCCAAATATCAAGTCTTTTTTCTTTTTTTAAGTCAAAGGAGCCAGTGAAAAAAGTCAAAGCTTACCTTGGCTCCTACAAATATATTTATATATCCTAACCCCATCTGGCTAACAACCACCAGCACAACTTTCTAAAAAAATAATCCTTAAGAACCTCTATTTTCAAAACGCAACGATAAAAGTCCCACTTCATCATGTATGTCCTCTTATAATAAGGTTATTCAGCATTGGTAATACTAAATACTAATAGCCTAATTTGGTCCCAGTATAAAATACATAAAATACTAAAAGTTAATAATCCTCTCTGCTGAGTGATCACTGTCTATCCCAAAGTTACCGGCTTTCAGGAAGTAAACCCTAAGATGAAGCTGGGAAGGAAAAGTGACAGAGAAGACAGCATCTGCTAAGCTTCCACGGGGAGTTTACCGAGTGCCCGCCAGGGAGATGCACACTGAGCGGTTAGAAGCAAACTGCCCGCGGCTACCCGTCAGGGAACTGCAGAGCTCCACTGTCCCTGAGAACCAAGTCCCTGTGGCCTCCATCCCGACTCCCGCTCTCTTCCTTAAATTATCAGGCCTCAGACATGGCAGGGCCTAGCTACTCATCCTTTCCAGAGGTTCAATGGGCCCTTGAAAACTCTAGAAATTAAGACGAGACTTTACTGAAAATGTCACCATTTACAGAAGCCGGGGACTCAAACTTGTCTGTCTTATCTGAATCATCCAAAGAGCTTAGACACTGTGCTCATTCTCTCTGGTCCTGGGCTGGGTGTGTTGGGGAACAGTGTTTAGCCCGATGTGGTGTGAATATCCTGGAGGGATTTGGGGAGAAAGTGAACCTGACATTTACATGGCATGTTTAAGTGGCACTGCATCCCCCTGAGCCCTCCCCTGCCTGGGCCAGCACAGCCTTGAACCTTCCTATCCCGGCAGGACCAGCCTGCCCTGCTTCTGCGGCCTCGGCGGAAAGGCCTAAGGTGAGAGCTACTGCACAGACCTGGGGGTGCCCACAGCGGAGAGCAGGAGGCTCTGCAGAGGCCCCGGGCTGGGACCAGGTGCGTTTCACCTCGGGTTTTCCTGAGTGAGAAGCACCTTTGAAATTCTGCCTCCACCTGTGGATGTGAAGGGAAAGCCTGCCAACAAGAGAGACGGCTGTGTGCGTTCTCTTCCCACAGGTGCTGAGAAAGGCTCTACCTGGCAAAGGCAAGGAGAGGTAGGGAGAACTGCCGGGGATGAAGCAGGAGGAGGTCCTCTTGACGGACTATCTCACCGTGTCCAACACGTGTTTCCTGAGCACGTCCTCTGAGGGAGGCAGTGGGCTGCGCCTGGGGGCACGGCTGTGATCAAGGCCAGCCCTGCCCTCCGGCCTCCCAGCCCCACAGCAGCTCTGACCGCCATCCGAGCTCCCGGGGCCTCTGCATCAGTCTGCCCACTGAACTCATTCCGCTCTGATTAAAGCCTAGTCACAGCCCTTTTCTATTTTAATCACAAAATCCTTAAAGCTCTAGTTTAGGGCCCTCAAGTCGAAGGAGAGAGGGTCCTTTCCCTTTAATGCAAACTTAAGCAGGAAACTGCCTCTGAGCAGTTTGGCCAAAAAGGATGTATTTTTCAGGAAAAACAAACTGGAGAAACAAGAAGTGGGAATGCTGCTGCGTTTCCATGCCCAGACCTCAGCCTTCCCTGGCCAGGGCTGCATTCAACCACCTGTAACATGTCACCCTCCTGGCATTTACCACACGAGCCCTTCCTAACTGCCGGCCTTGTCAGGGGACAGGCCTCCCAGGTCCCGGGCACAGGGTCACAATTATGAATTACTCCTGCGGTCGGTCAGATCTGATCTGAACTTAAGAGGAACCCAAGACGACTTACCAGGGGTGTGTGCTACATTCAGAGGCACCTGACCAGCTGTGAGAGCCACCTTCCTTAACATGTCCTCTTCTGGACCACCTGGGGCTCCCGAGCTGGATATGCTCCCAGCTGAGGGCGCCACTTTTTGGAGCTGGAGCCTGAAGTCCATGCCCAGGTTTCCTGCTAACTGGCTGCATGACCCGACAGGTCACTGAACTCTTCTGTGAGGTGGGACAAGTATAACCAGCTGACCAGCTCACAGGTGTTGTACTTATACCCAAAGCTGGCAGTGGGGCCAAGTGCTTTGTAAAGGGTGAGGCTAGCTGATACGTTCAGAGATCAAAGCAAGGTAGTGGGGGCTCTCCAGACGAGCATGGAAGCCCGCAGGCTCAGGGAGGGGCAGATCATGGCGTGCGGGGGAGAGCAGGGCAGGAGCCCGGCCTTCCTGGCAGGCGACAGATCAAACGTCAAGTGGCAACAGCTTGACTGCTGGCAAAGTGTGCAGAGCGGTCAGATGGAGAAGTGACTCCTCAACAGTATCAGGTGCAGAAAGGAGAGTTACAGAGATTAAATCTCAATCCAACAGTGATTCCTCACTGAGAAGCCACTGGGGAAATCTGCGCTAATGAACACGGATGTTCGCAGTATCTGCAGCCTCTCCTTCATTAAACCCACCCCCGTCACCTGGATCCGGGTCCTCACCGTCGCACACCTGGGATGTCTGCACTGCGAGCTGAGCGGCCCGGCCTTGGCCTGTCCCTGCTGCACACACCCTGCTGGGCGCCCCAAGCACGTCTGCCACCATGTCATGCATCTGCTCACAAACGAGCCTCCCCACCAACGCCTCAGGGCACGCTCTTCACCCGACGTGAAGGCTCTGAAAGGCTTGGCCGTAGCTGTGGTTGGTCCTTCGCTCCTGCCCCCAGAACTCTTGTCCAGGGCATGAGGCCTTGGCCTTCCCATGTCAGGGTCTTTGGTCAGATCACCCTTCACGGTCTAGCTCAGGCCCTTCTCCTCTGACAGCCAGCCTCCAAGGCCACTGTACTCACAGGAAAACCTGCCGTGGTCTGGAACAACCACGGTCTCCAACGCACCCCTTCTCCTCCTCTCTTGAAGGCACTCATTAGACTTGCCCGCACCACTGCACCGAAAGGCCTCTGCGAGGGACTGAGTGTTACACCTGGGGGCTCCCCTCCTTCCTCTCGGCCCTGCGGCTCTTCTGGGTCTCTCTGTAAACGTGGCCTTAGCAGGCGGGTGCTCCCTGGCCCTCCCACGTGAACCAACACCTGCCCTCCTCCCTGCCCGCCACTCGCTGTGCTTTCTCCGCAGCCTGGTCCGCATCCGCGTGCTGTCTATCCCCTGGCACGCGCTGGCTGCCATCTCTCCCTACGGCGGCCAGGCTCCGTGAGCACGGGGCGGGTCGCTGCTGTGCCCAGTGCCCACACAGTGCGTGCGCACAGCAGGTCCTGACAAATCTTTGCAGAATAAATATGGTTGTTTCACCATTTATATCACAAAGCGCACATTCCTAAGAAAACTTAAGAAACCTGGGAAACAAAGGTGACACATACTAGGCAAAACAACGCCAATGAGAAATACAAGCCTTTCCTCATTCTCACTGAAAACACGTAAGGATTTCATATCCCCCCCCGCTGAGCGATGGCACCTCACAGCAGGGAACCCTGACTCAATCTGTACCTTAAGGCCACTGAGACGCCAACATGCCAAGTACCCGGCAGACGGCCCTGAAAGGGTGTGGCCTCCTGACCTGGCAGAATATCCCATCCTCCTTGGGGGACAAAGGGACCTTCTTAGAGGCGCTCCGTGAGGGCTGGTCTGCACAGCTCAACAACAGTGACGTGGGCAGGACTCGGTGAAACGGGTCCACGGCTCCCATTTCACACTGCACAGCATATGCCCCCTCGGTGGGTGTGACTCATGGCCCTCTGGGTGGCACGGAGCAAGATTCTCTAATAAAACTAAGAACACACGAGACTCGTGGCGGAGATGCTGAGGCTCCTGACTCGCCCGGACCGCACGGGCCCTGGTGAGCCCGCTCTTGGGTCTGTGTGGTCAGCACTGCCCGAGGCTGTCCTGCCGGGGGCGCAGGTCCCACTGCTGGGACCAGGGCAGAGGGGGGAGGAGCGGTTTTTATCCAGGAGACACAGGCATGCGACTAGCAGGAGGGTTGGGCAGCTGTGGGGGCTTAGGTCTGAAACTGGAAGGTTAACTGAAGGGTGGGAGGGGTGGGGGGGGAAGACAGGCACGGGGTTGCACACAAGGACTCACGGATGGGGCGGAGCCTCGGGGTCTGCTCAGGTTTCATCTGCAATCAGTTTACCAGAAGAGTGGCAGGACGAGGGCGTAGTTACCTGGGCATATTGGGCAGCAGCTGCCTTCCACGTTGATGGGCTCCACGCAGGGCAGCGGCGGGCAGCTGACGGTGGAGCAGAGGGTCTGGCCCTGCAGGCAGTAGCAGTGCGTGCAGCTGTCTATGTCCCAGCGCTCCTCGTCGGCGTAGGCCTTCCCGCCGAAGTGGCACACCACCCTCTTCGCGATGCTGTCTTCTAGGGGCAAGAACAGGGCACTGTGGAGTGGCTTGAGGTGACAAAGCACGGTTCTTATTATACCCAAGGGGAACCGCTCCGTACAATCGCAACAGGCTTTAGGAGTTCCAGAATCCGGGAACTTTTGCTCCCCCAGAACCCTTCTGCCTCCCCTCTGCCTAGGAGACTCATGTGACCAAGGGCCACTGCGGCTATGGCACGGTGGTCACGATTACAACCGGCTGGGAATGACACCGCCTGGGGAGGGGTCACCAGACTGTCATCACAAAGCATACACAGTCCATCACAGTATGGCTGTTGAACATGCCACACAGAAAAACTGATATAGAAGTAGGTAAAGACACATGCAGAGGTTTTATTCTATCTGGAAAGATTTTTTTAAAAGTCCAGCTAAGTATGTTTATGGAGCTAATTAAAGGAATTCCCACTTTTCGTTAATCTTTTTTGTAGATAGTTCAGGGGAGTAGTAAGGAATGGACTGGCGTGTCAGAGCGAACTAGCAGGGTCCCCGGCTCTCCCAGACGGGACTCCTCCATCCCCAGGGATGCCGATGGCATTGTCCTCAGCAGAGAGATTTACTTTAAAAACCACCTCGTTCATTTCAATCCATTTTTCAGTAATGTATGGTTTTTGAGAACATTATATTTTTAAGAGCTATTTTTATGTACGAGAACTTACAGCTTAAAACATTCTGCTCCTCCTTTTTCCCTCCATTTCCCTGGCCGTTATCCCTCCCCCGCTTTCCTTCAAAAAGTTCCCTTCTCTGACGCAACGCCTTCTCCTGGTTTCCTGAACTCACTTCCTGGTGGTCACGCTGCCCTAGAGCTCGGGCACCACCGTGGCTCAGCGAGGCCCAGGGAGCAGCAGAGCGGAGATGGCAAATCGCCGGGGGAACAATCGCCGGGGGAACACAGGGCAGGCAGGCCAGTGACTGGGTGACACCTCAGAACCTGGGGAAGTTTATGCTCAGATTCTAGGGGCCCTTCCATCACCACTGGTCACCAGAAAACGGAAAACTACAGGAGTCGGGAATGAAGCTCCTTAGGAGAGGAGTGTGTCCAGGGCTCAGGGTTCTTTCCAGAGGCCTCTGGGAAGCTCTCGCAGGGATAATGTTCACCACCCAGACAAAGCACCGAGCCCAGGGTGCTTGAGGGTGCACCGAGAGCCGTGCCCGCGTGGGTCAGGAGCCGCCTCCTCCCAGCAGCCCAGACCCTGCAGCAGAGCGCCAGGTGGCGGGAAGCCCCTCTCTGCAGCCCACGCTCAGAGCTCCGCCTTTGCTGGGGGAGGGGGGGGAGGGTCCCAGATGGACATGCTCACAGATCTGTCCTCGGTGCCAGCACCCTGTTCTTGCCAATGACTCTAGCACAGGCGGCTGCTTAGGCGGCACAGACAATGCCCTGTGTTTCTGTAGACGCATGTCTCAGTCCCTCAGTGAGAGCGCAGGAGGGAATCTACCCCAAGTGTTCAAATGCGTACACTCTGTTTCTCAACACTTCCCATGTCCCTCTCATACGACTCCTTAAGGTTCAACAAGGGAGATCAAGTAATCACAGAAAGTTCTAGTTATCAGCAGAAGTCTTTCCCAATATCTATTAAAGACATTTTACTGTATTCATAAATGTTCCACCAAAGGCTTTCTGGTGCCCTGAATGTTCAGTTTGAAAACTCATTTGGAGGCTTTCAAACCAAATTCATGACAGAAGTGTTTGCTAACACAGAGTCCTTCGAGGAGGCAACTTCATCCAGCTGTCCACAGCGTACGTGCCAAATGGCCGAGTCAAACCAATTAATGAACCTAATTCTAGTAATACTCTGACCGCCAGCCAACATTTCATTGAGGGCATTTGATGCACCATCAAATCTAGAGTCTTGTAAGCAGAGAATTCTTTCTGGAAGAAAGCACTTCTTCTTAAAGCACCATTGCTGATTTTATGCAGAGCTCAGGGGACCACAAGCTCTATGAACCCCAGGGCCAGCATTCTCAGAGCTGACCTCCTTAAAGACTGGAGGTCGGCGGAGGCAGGTGGCCGACAAGAGAGACACCAGATGGCTCTGAAAGAGGATGTAGGTGCCAAGTCCTGCAGGAGAGAACTGGCATCTGCTAAGCACCCATGGTGCCAGGCGTTGGGCCGAGAGCTGCACCTGGGTCAGCCTCATGGGACGGTGAAGCAGGCTGTGCATCCCACTCCAGGGAACCAGGTGTACCGGGGGCAGTGACTTAATGCAGCACAGCCAGTGAGCAGCGGAACCTGCACATACCCGGCTCCATCCGACCGCGAGGCCCACATGCTCAGCATGGACGCTACCTAAGGCTCCTTTCCTTCCCTTCCCCTTCACGTGGTCTCCAATGTGCCTGGGCCTCGCCGGCAAAGTGGACAACTGTTTGGCTACCCGGCATGTTCAGGGGAAGGCCAAGCCAGAGCCACTGCACTGAATTTTCAAGTAAAATGAATGGAGGATTCTTAATTTTGGCAAAACCCTGAAGATACTTCATCTTCTCCAGGGTGGCTCCTACATGGTCCATTTTAGATTATAGTTAATGAGATTTAGGTTAATAAGGTTTTATAGAACGATGTCCACCTCTGACTACATTTCACCTGAAAGGCTAAGGTCGAAACGGAGGCCTGGACACACGGAAAGGATGTCGGCCAACTGAGCATCGTGGTGCGCCCTCGTCCCCCCCCCCCCCCCCATGCGTTTCTTTCCTGGATGTACCACCTCCTTCCACGGCTCGTCTGAGTTTACCCAAGCAAGCGGCCAGGAAGCTTTAGGGGCTACCTCGTGTACAGGCGACACGGTGGCTTCTATGCAATTTGAGGTCTAAATAATAAATGAATAAAGATACCGTCGTTTTTGGGGGCGGGGGGGACAGCAGAGTCTAATGCAGTGGTTCTCAACCTTCTGGCCCTTTAAATACAGTTCCTCATGTTGTGACCCAACCATAAAATTATTTTCGTTGCTACTTCATCACTGTAATGTTGCTACTGTTATGAATCCTAATGTAAATATCTGATACGCAGGATGGTCTTAGGCGACCCCTGTGAAAGGGTTGTTCGACCGCCAAAGGGGTCACGACCCACAGGTTGAGAACCGCTGGCCTAATGGAAAGCACATATAAAAGCATTTTAAGCACTCGGGCTGGAGAGGGTGTAGAAATAGAGACACAGGAATAGCGACTAAAAGTAATTGGTTTCTATTTGGCTATCGAGTGAGCTGTGCCATTGAACGCTGTTATATTTATCACTCCAACTGGTCTGCTTACACGGACAACGGCGTGAGCTTTATTCTTTAATACCTAATAATAACCCTAACTTCCCCCGGCTGAGTGCCAGCTATGTCCTGGGCACCGTGCTGAGCAGCTCACATGGGCCAATTCCATTTGATCTCATCAGCCTCAGGGACAGGGTGTTAGTCCAATCCCACACAAAACCGAGGGGCAGGGAGATGACATCACGTGCCCAAGCTGCAGGGCTGGGAAGTGGCAGGGCGGGCCGGGCACCGAAGCAGGATGACCTCAGGACGGCCCCACTCCCGGCGGGAACCCGGACCACACAACAACTACTGTTAGGTTTCCCACCGCTCGTATCTGTTGGATCTTAAGGTCTTTGTCTTCAAAGGTACATTACCCTTCAGCTGACCGCACCACACACCTGGCCCAGGTGTGTCAGGGAATGGAGACCAGCAAGGGGCCACCTCGGACCCACGGTCCTTCTGGGCCAATCTCCAGTTACTCTATTTAAGACCCTTTATCTCCGAGGAAGAGGAGAATGTTTCTGGGAAACGAGGTGTGACACCAATAATACGGCTTATTTTTAAAACGAACACTGCTGTTTGTCTGCTTGCAGTTACATATCCAATCAAGTGTGGCCCTCTTCTGTGCAGTCACTGTGGGGGGTTACAGACATAGCCCACGGCGCGCCCTTGCCTCGCACAGCTTCGGCAAAGCAGCGACGTTACCTTGCATTGCCTGTGACTACAGTAAGAACATGTATGTCTTACTGTGGTGGAGTTCGGAGAATTCAGCGTGGGTTGTTTTTTTTTTCTTTCATTTTCCTCGATTCTGCTTGATACCAAAGAGGATGAAAAAGTGGCAAGGCCTTGAGATGTTAACTCCTTTCAAGCCGACGTCCCACCTGTTCAAACTTCTCTCTCCAAGATAAGATAAGAAGCCCTAACAGGCTGTCAGCTGGACTCTGCTTCTCCTCTCGAGCTGTGTCACTACCGGCACTCTAACCCTAATGAACACCTGGGAAAACCCAGAACCGAGAAATGCGGTGCTTTCTTCCTCTAGAAAGGTCCCAGTCAGGCCTCCAGGAGGCACTGATGGGGCGGCCCAGGCTGCTCTGCATCGACCACGAGGAGGGACGTACCTTAGCCCTGGCAAGGAGAGCATCTCGAGCCCGCTCCGCTTCCTCCGTGGAGGAATAGAAAATCTATGCTCTGCTCAAATCATGTTAGAGTTGGGCTTTTCACTTCCGCCAGGGCACAGCGTTGGTGTATAAATACTCCAGGTCTAAATCGGGTTGTGTATGGCGGTGGTGGTCATGGAGTCAGTCTTGGTGTAGGAGTGACTTCCTGGGAGGAAGTCAGGCAGCTTTAGAAACGGCATCAGTTCTTTCAAATCTTCAGCGGACTATTTCGATCCCAATGGCCAAGAAAACTAAATGCAGCTCCCACTCTCAGAATAAGTCCCAGCTCAAAATAATCCCGCACTGGGCGGGGGTGGAGGGGGAGCTGGCTCATCCCACACATCGCCATGGAGAGCCTTCTGAGCACGTGGTCAGAGGTACCGAGGCCGGTGACGCCTCTGCCCTGAGGAGATGCTTCTAGACCAGGGGCTCCCTTTGTCCTGTGTGATGTGGAAATTGCAGGCCCTGCTAAATAACATTATACTTCAATTTGGTTTCTTAAGTTTGAGGCTCAAGGGACTAGAAGAAATCATTTAGGCAGGCATAAAATGGGACTGGGACCACTATGGGGAACATGAGATTAAGAAGAGGGGGTACAAAGAGCAGCCACCTCTCTCTAGGGACACAGTGACTGGGGCAAGAAGAGGGGAAGTACTTTTAAGAATTTTAGCTTATAAATGGAACAATGCACATTAAGGTGACCAAGCAGCCATGGCTATTCAAGCTAAGAGTGCGCAGGAGGCACACCACCAAAGCCTTTTTTAAAAACTAGAGGCCCAGTGCATGAAATTCGTGCACTCGGGGGTGGGGTGCGGGTGTGAGGTGTCCCTCAGCCCAGCCTGCGCCCTCTCACAGTCCGGGAGCCCTTGGGGGATGTCTGACTGACAGCTTAGGCCTGCTCCTTACAGCAGTCAGACATCCTTAGTGCTGCTGCGGAGGCGGGAGAGGCTCCTGCCACCATCGCTGTGCTCGCCAGCCATGGGCCCGGCTTCTGGCTGAGTGGTGCTCCTCTTGTGGGAGCACACTGACCACCAGGGGACAGGTCCTGCGTTGAGTGTCTGCCCCCTGGTGGTCAGTGTGCATCATAGCGACTGGTCGTTCTGCCATTTGGTCGATTTGCATATTAGCCTTTTATTATATGGGATATCCTCGTCCTTCACACACTCGTCACTGGGATGCTCTGTCCAGGCCTTTCTCCTGCAGAAAAGCAGCAGGTGCTCTATTTAACGTGGGAAACCAGACTGTGCCTGATGCCTGTCACTCACAGCTGCGGCACCCGGTGTCCGGGGAGCTGTGACTATCCACATGGCGCTTGCCGCTCACCAAGTTGTTCACCGTGTGGATGACTAACTTTCACAGCACGTTCACGAAGCACAGGACACAGGACACAGGACAGCATTATTATTCCCATCTTCCAGGTGAGGAAGCCGAGTCAGGTCACTGACGTGTAGCCAGAATGTGCCCGAGGTGAGCTTATAATCCTTTGGCTCCAAAGTAAGTTCCCTTTCCAACACAGGTTATTCATCTTAAGAAAACATGTTGGGGACACAGCTCTGAAGACTCTTCCAATGGATATGCCAGTAGAACACCACCATGGCTTGAAAATGTACTACATGCAATTCCATGGGTTGTGTTGTTAGGAATGCAATTAAATAGTATTTACTAGGTTTGATTCCTGGGCTGAATTAAATACCCAATGATCAACAGGTGTTCCAGAGAGACACTAGATATATTTATCTCCAGAAAAAGAGACCTAAACAAATAAACAAATCTAAGCAGAAATGAGTGCTGCACAACAGACTGGAGAGCGAGGGCAGACGCTGCCTCTTTCAAGGAGAAATATTATCAATCATTTGCTAGTTGAAGATCACGATGGTATTATAAGCAATTAGACAAAGCCGTTCACTTCACGAAATTAATCCTCAATCCTATTAATTATGCCCGTGTTACACATTCTACCGAATTAGCACACATAATACGAGGCCTTCACACATCAGAGGGAGGCATTATCACTGCACATTAGCGACTTGATAATTTAGCTGAAAGGAACACAAAACTCATAATTACTCTGCTTTTAAAGGGATCGCCACTTTTCTCTTAGGGAAGAAAGAGAAGGAATACCTCACAGGGTGACAGCAAGCATGCTTTTGTGTAGGGGTTTTATCACCAAAGTCAGACTAAAGGCAGGTTTGAGGGGTTTAGAGATCTCTGGTTGACTAATTAGGGAGACCATTCACCCACGGAGGAGCTGTGCAGCCATGGGAGGCCAGCAAGCGGGGAGGGGCAGCACGCGAGACCCTGGGAGCAGCTTATCTGGGTTAGGAAGGAGCTGGGCTCAACCTGAGAAAGCCCAGGACAGGAGACAGTGCCAGGGCTGTCCCGGTGCCGCCTGGAGGAGCGATCGGGTGCCTTAAGACATGCCAAGGCACGGCTTCCCATCTCCTCCCTCTGCTGGGTGGCCTCTGAGGGCGGACACAGGCTCCGCCACCGCGGCATGGTAACTGCCTGCAGGTGTGCTAGTGCCGTGAGGCTCCGTGCCTTCCGTACAGAGGGAAGCTGCTAAGAGAACCAGCCTGGAGAGAGGGAGGGAGCAAACTGGAGTCAGAAAATCCCACACCACAGTCAGGAACTGAACTTGACTTGGCACGCTTGGACACCAGGAGCAAGGAAGGATCCAGGCTCACGTAACAAGGCGACTTGCAAAATAGGTCTGATGACTACAGAAGGGAATGCGTGACTATTGCAATAATAAAACAGTGTGTGAAGCATTAAGGTGAACGAGTGAACAGCAGCACACAGTGTGCTCAGCAAATGTTAAGTGTCCCCCAAGGTGTTCCCCTGAACATAAGCCACAGGTTTACGTGACAGTTACACCCGTGTCAGTAAGGAGCAGGGGCAGTTGTGGGGGGAGATGTAACAGACACAACATTCCCAGCACACAATTATGAGCATGTATGAACCACAATTTAGTGAAAGTGCTTGCAAGTGAACCTAAAATCAAAATCACAATTTGGACCAAAATGTTATTTTCCTCCCTACACCAAAGAAGAATGTACAGTCTAAATGATGCAGAAATTGAAATAGGAAATACAAAAGCAAAAAAAAAAAAAAAGAAAAAAAGCAAGGACACTATATTATGACTTGCAGGCATCTCATCGTATGTTTGAATTTGTTAAACTGGTTTTGTGAGAAAGAGAAGTGATTTACTATCGTCATTTAGAAACAAACTTACTAGCTGAGCAACTTACTAATGACAAATTTATCAATTAAGCAGCAAAACGCCACAGGAGCTTTTATCTAAACAAAATAATCTGAACAGAGGCAGGATTCACCGCTGGATTCTGCCCCGAAGGGATAGGCAATTCCCGGCGTCCTGGGCCCGTTTCCTGAGTGGGACCTCAGCGCCCTGGTGGATGCATGAACCCTTCCTTCAGGACCGACGCTCTCATGTTGAAATGGGGTGACACCGGCTGTCCCTCTGCCTCCTCCCACCCCTGGCCTGAACAGCAGCCTAGGCATGCCTCGTATTTAGACCTCACCCAAGGCAGTGCTATTTTCCGCAGGAATTTTGGTCAGCCCTTTGAAAAGGCCAGTGGCACTATGCCTTGGTATATTTTTGGCTCCACTTAGGAGCTACAAAGCTCATGCGAATTACAGCCGAACCCAAGGTCACCGTCATGAAAAGGTGGGGCAACCACACGACCCATCTGCTTGGGACACTCCTGGTCGACAGCTGTTGTCCCATCACACGTTATGAATAGACCCCCTTTCACTCTCAAAAGCACCGTGGTCTGAAGAACAAATGACAGAGATGGTCAACCTATTAAAAGAGAACCCAGCTTTCAAACATACATTGAAATACTCCCTGACCATGACGCAGAACATCCCTGAGAGCAGAAATTATGTTTTTGGAACATCTTTCCATCTCTTGCAGACCAACATGCAGAATAACACTCAGAGCAAGTGGCCCTCCACCCAGTGGCCTGAGGCCACAGCCACAGCCACGGAGAGGGAGCGGCCTGATGAGCTCGTGTCATGGCCCGAGCGTGACTCCTGGGCTCACCCGTGGGAACTGCTACAAAGCTCCGCGGCGAGATCTCTCCTCCTCAGATATCACCCCAAAACACGCAATGACTTGTCTCCAGAAAGCACACAAAAATCTCCAACCAGAGTGCACAAGCCTGCAATTACTGCAGCTCGCCTCCCTGTCCACCTGCTACTCGGAGTAGAGGGGCACCGCTGGATGGCCACACACCACCGTCTCCCACGTGACTTTATGAGCTTTCCTTGGTACAAAAGCAATAAAGGAGAGCGAGAGCCTTGGGAGCGAGGGCTGCGCCTCTATCACAGCTGCCAGCTGTCGGCGCATCGCCTCCTGGGCTCGGGCGCAGCACCTGGCTTGTGTCCGGGGGACTGGCTTTGGTATAGACGTCAGGGACTAATACGCGTGTGTCCTCTGCTCACGAGCTGTGTCCCCCTGGGTCACTGGAAGGTGAGGGCTGTCAGTTACCCAGGCCTCACTCTGTGTGCCTAGGCCCTGAGGATGGACAACTGTGCGGCTGAAATGGAACCAATGAAGTGTCAGCAAACAGAGGAGATACCGGGAGGTAAGTCGGTGTTTCGTAGGTAGTGACCTGAAGGCAGGGGCAAGCTTTATGCGGTAAGTGTGCTGCAAGGAGATGGGGGATTCCATGGGGAACACAAGGCCGCCGGGAACGACAGGGCAGAGAAAGACAGTTGGGGTCTTGGGAAGTCTGAAATGGCCAAGCAGCCCAATAGGACAGGCCAGTGCGGTACCATCAGGACATCCTGAGGCATGTGATTCCGAGTAACGCTTAGCTCGGGATCACATCTTCCACGTCTTCCCCGCCGGACATGACTACTCTGACTGTGTGGCACAGCAATCAGAAAACCAGATTTCACAAACATGAGCGGATCCAGGCACAGGGCCGTCGATGTAGACGCAGTGGCCCCGGCGGAGCCGAAGGACTCTGTCTCGGTCTTACCTATGCAGTAGGGACAGCACTGGCCCTTTCTCAGAACAGGTCTCTCACAGGATACTGCCGGGCAGGACTCGGAGAAGCAGCTGATGAGGCTGTTCATGCAGACGCAGCTGGTACAAACGTCAGGCTTCCAGGACTCGGCGGCCAGGAACATGGCCCCCTCCTCGTTCCTGCAGTAGCTGGGCTCGCTGTCGTTGCGGGAGGGCGAAGGCTGGAGAGGCGCGTCTGGAAAAACGAACAGGAGGTCAGCAGGGGAAGGGAGGTGCTGCAGGCCAGGCCACCCAGTGTCCCACGGGAAGCATGCTCAGTCATGCGCTTGTGTGCCACGGTCCTTAAAAATGTCACAGTCACGTCTGGCCGGCGTGGCCCAGTGGTTGAGCGTCAACCTATGAACCAGGAGGTCATGGTTCGATTCCTGGTCAGGGCATATGCCTGGGTTGCAGGAGGCAGTGGATCAAGGATTTTCTCTTATCACTGATTCTCTCTCTCTCCCTTTCTCTCTGAAATCAATAAAAATATACATTTTTAAAAATGTTAGTCATTAAACAGCAAATCTGATTCCACCAGGGTTTGAATTTTAAAACGAAGAGGCTCTGTTAGTGGCTTGCACAATACCCACTCTCCTTCCTTGGATTTTTGGGGGGTGGTTGAGGACTTGAGTCACAATGTAACTCGAACAGGACCATCCCTCTCCCTGCTTTCCCAGTTTCCCTTGCAACTGGGGGGAGGCGGGTGCCACGTCACCTGTTTGCGGCTAATATTAGTGACCTAGTGGCTAGTCAGAGGATTTCTGGGACAGCTTCCACTTCCTTAAGAGAAGGGCGGGTGCGATGCCTCTGCCATCCTTCCACATGTTCCTGCCTCGAACGCAAGTGTGTTACCTGCAGCTGTAACACCCTTATCCCACGTGTGAGAGAAGGGCCTCACGTCACTAAGACCCTGAGTTAATGCGAATAAACACCAGCCTCCAAACTTCCTGTAAAGCAAGCTCTGCCTACATCCATCCTACGCAACCAACAGCCACACAGGTTCTCACTGCACCTCCCCGAACACCTCTATGCAATATCCCCACGTGCACATTCGCGGCTGGAAGATGATGGGAGACCCACATCGCTCATCAGGATGCACCCCAGGGACGTCGTAAGCATCTTCCCCTAAAGACTGTGACCAGAAGGTTCCCAGATCCAGTTCCCGCTGGAAATGGACACCCGGAAAACCCTCTGGGTCCTGTCCACTGAAATTACGTGAAAACTGTAACTTCAAGCAGAAAAATGACTGGGATATAACAGGGGAAAATGTGTGAGTGAGAGTCCCAGACCAGAAATCTCACAATTCGCTGAAAGAGGAGAAAGCTCTTCTAACCACTGCTCGATTCGAGAGGCCCTGATGGTCTACCTATCAACCGTCTCCGAGAGCCACGTTTCTCAGTGGATACAGGGTCTGAACTTTAAAGAATTACCATGTGTTCCTGTCAATCAACATCAGGAACTCAGTGAGTGAGCAGCTCTGAATGTCACTCTCTCCTCGCACCCACCTCCCAGCAGCAAGTGTGATCTGACCACGAGCCCCCCAAGGCCGGAAGGAAGTCAGCAAACGAAACGGGCCCACACCTTCTCCTCTACATTTGTAACGTATCACCTACTCAGTCCTGAAGGCGGGCACAACCCAAAGGCAGCCACTGGGTCCACTGCTCCACCTGTGCCGTGTTACGCCTGGCTGCACTGCCCACATCCATGTGGCTCAGAGATGGAGGGGCAGGGTTACATTCTCAGTGGCCTTTCTGGGTCAGCCGTGTCTAGGAATAATCACTTAAGAGAATGACCAATGCCAACTTTTGCTCTGGCTGAAAATTGGGACAACTCACACTCCAGACCTCACCAGGCTCTGCAAATTGCCACGAGGTTGCTGTGGGTTAGGAGAGCTTAGCTCCTTCAAGCAATGCCGCACCTCGGCCTAAACATTGAGGAGAGAGAGCAGGAACAGCCCTTCATCTTTGGGCTGAGCCTCTGAGCCAATGAATCTGGGCCACAGGTGGTGAAGTCCCCCCCTCGCCCCCTCCTTCCATCAGCTCCTGCATTTGTCCCCAGATCCTAGTACAAGTGGTAGCAGAGGTGCTTCCCACTTCAGCTGAAGGTTCCTAGGTTATATGTGCTCCTCATTCTTTCCTTTGGCGGCGATCCTCTCACTTTGTCATTATTTACGCAAATGTCTAAGACTGAATCACTGCTCCACAGGCCAGGAGCTGTGCCTGTTGCCATTAACCTGGGGAACCCCATGGCACAATCCAGGCATTCCGCAGTATCTGTAAGATGAGTGATGGAAGTGGCCACCAATTCCTGATCACCAATGAAGACACCGCTCCAAGGGGTCTCTACCAGGAGGACGGGAATAGTCAGGGCTATGTATGAACACAGAATCATCGGCAGAATTTACATCTGAATAAAATAGGGATAATGGTAGAAGCATGGGAGGGACTGGGCCATACATACCCTAACAATGGAGTACATATGAACTCCTTCTTATACCAGAAAATATGCTGCACCCACTAAGCTTCTCAGATTACCACGGCGACTAATGCACGGAAGATTTTGTACCAAGACGGTCACACCTCGGCAGCAGTGCGTGCCGACAACAGTGAGTGGCTACTCCTGCAGGTCCACCCGAGGCAATTCAAACGGAGCATCAACATGAACCCTGGCTGGCCGGGGGGCAGACAGGACACTGGATTCCGGCCAGCCCACTAGATGATCCAATGTAAAAAAAGTAGCAAAATGCAAGGGTTGATGTTTTACTGTGCAGAAATGCCCCAAGAATATACATTTAGAAGGTAAATGGCTACTGATGTAAGTTGAAAAGATAAAAGATTAAGCAACAACAAAATAAAACTAGTGAGCTGTCAACTTGGTAATTTTACATATACAAATTAAATATCTTTTGGGAAAAAAGTCATATATTCTAGTATTAATTTGGAAAATAGTCATACATTCTAGTGTAACTAAAGTGCTACTCTAGTTACAAACCAGTAACTTATGTTTAAAATCCTGACAAAATCTGATTACATTTGTTCCAGGACCATCAATTTACCTGCTAAGGCCAGATTATCTGAGAATGAGAAGAAAACAATATTACTCTTTGCACAAGCCGTGCCAGTCACTTAATTCTTTTGGAGCTTAAGTTATTAATCATCACAGGTGGGAGGGGGTGAGCATTATGTGTATTTCAGTGATTGCCCTGCTCAACATTCTCAAAGTACCCTCCCCATCCTTACATACTTCAGAGAATTTTATTGATATTATTCATCAATATCTGCTCTTTCCATTTGTTAAAGACAAAGATGGCTTTTCACATTAGCGAAATCATTTGGAATAACTGGTGCCGCAGGACTATCTCCTGCGTCTGTGATGTAGGATTACAAGAATGAACGGGGGGAGGGGGGAAAAAGGCGATTGTTTCTAAGTCACCTCAGGTACAAGGCATATTGAACTCATAAATATGTGGTCTATGGAGGGGATGGATTTATTTATTTACTTAAAATTTACCTTTATTGTTGAAAGTCCCCCCCCCCACCATGAACCCCCTCCTCCCCATGCCCACCCTTCCCCAGGCCTTCACCGCACTATTGTCTGTGTCCATGGGCTATGCATATATGCACGAAAGGTCACTGGTTAATCTCTCCCCACCCCTTCCCTCTGAAATTCGTCAGTCTGTTGGATGCGTCCATGTCTCTGGATCTTTTCTGTTCATCAGTGTACTTTGTTCATTAGCGTTAGAGGGATGACTTTAGAAAGCAGGCCGCCAAGTGTTCGTGCCTGGGTTACAGGTGACTGGCTTTGGGACCCTCGCACGTGGGGCTCAGCCTGCTGGCCCTGCACAGTGACAACGCCTGAGCCGCAGCCTTCCCCGCCCCGCGCGTCCCGGGGCCCCGGGCGGTTACCTGTACACTGTGGGCAGCAGGAGTCCTGGGTCCGCGAGGGGTTCTGGCAGAGCAGCGGCGGGCACACCTCCGTCTCACACATCACCCGCCCGCTGTGGCAGGTGCACTGAGTACAGGAGTCTATGTTCCACGTTTCTCCTTCCACAAAGTACTCTCCTCCAGGGGCGTGGCAAATGGAGGGGGCGCTGAGCTCCGGCTTCTGCTCCACAAGGTCATCTGGGAAGGACACAGCATCCAAACACAAGACGTTATTTGTCAGCAGCCATCCCGACGCCCGAAGAGCCTGGTGCTGCGTGCTCCAAGGGGCAGAGGATGAACTGACCGCGAAATACCTCCCTCTGTTCCTCTCAGGAGAAGAGTGAAGGGCATAGTCCTTGCACAGCAATAAACACAAGGCGACAGCAGAAGAGGCAGTTTTAGGAAGTGAGATTCAAGTGGCCTGAGTTTAAAAATCACGACCGGCCCTGGCAGGGTAGCTCAGTTGGTTAGAGCGTCGTCCCAATACGTCAAGGTTTCGGGTTCGATCTCCGTCAGGGCACATGTAAGAAGCAACCAATGAATGCGTAACAGACATAGGGGAACAAATGGGTGGTTCTCTCTCGCTCTCTCCCTCCCCTCCTTTTCAAATCAATAAATTAAAAAAAAATTAATAACAACAACGAGGGAATCCAACAGGAGCATTAAATTACAGGAGCGAACTCCGACCACAGGAAAAAGAACGAGAGCCTCAGGGGAGCTCTGTGGATGTGCAGGATGCCTAGACTGAAGATGTTTTTCATGCCCTGAATGCTTGCTATGGTCCAATTGCCATGCAACGTGCTCTCTCTACATGTGTTATCTCACTTCTTTACATCGACCTTGTGAGGAAGCTGAGGGCTCAGAGTGTTAAAGGCAGACAAGGGATCGGAACCTAAGTCTACGTCTGGATCATGGGTAGGCCTCCAGGTTAAACATAATTTCCAACTGCTCCGTCCTCTCCATTATCCCTCGGACCCCAAGCACTCTGGTGCTTGGAAATGCATCCTGCTGCTGAGCTGGCCACTCCCCGGCCTAGATCCACTGCCAGCAACTGAGCAGGAATGTTCTGCAGAGTCAATGGTCTGGAAACTCTCACCTGAGAATAAACATTTTTTGGAGAATAGCATCATCAGGAGAGGAGAATGCTCAGAGGCGGGTGATAACTCTGATTTCTTTCCCGGGAGGAGAGGTGATTCTGACCTCTTGATGAGGTGATAATGATAGAGAGGGAATTTAATGCTGCAAATACCTAGGAGGTTCTGGGAGTTGCCTCGAGGTTGTGCTGAGGGAATGAGAAGTGTGAAGACATGAGCCATATTTGTGTAATCCAAATACAACAAGCATTTCAAGGAGGTGTTGACAGTGTCGAACCCCGCTGAGCGGCAGTCTGGAGACGCAGGGCGAGCTCACGCCTGGAGCTCAGCAGAGGCCAGGCCCCAGGAGAACGCCCTGTCTGTGCAGATGCTCGGAGCTGAATCACCCAAGAGCTCATAGGCTGTCATTTTCAAAGGGGCGGCCAGCACGAGAGTCCACGCTGATGAGATACGTGGCGGGGGCTGAGCTCCAGTTGAGGAGGTCACTCTCCACTCAGCTCCATCTCAAGGGAACTGGCAAGACTGGAACTCTGACTGAGCGGATGTGGAACAGAAACCTGCCTGCAGCCCAGGCTTATATTCCCAAGCCGCTGGACCCCATAATAAGGAGAGAGGAAGGCAAGAATGAAAACTGAGCTGGGGCAAAGGACAAAGGGCCCTTCTCATGGTTTACAGAGAAAACGGAACACTGTTCCAAAAGCACTAATAAACTGATGCTGGAAGAGGGCTGTCCTCCCGTCTCATTTGCTAATAACTCCCTTAGATCTGTGTATATACTATGTACCTCGAGGCACAGCATGTGAGTGGCCACAGAGATGGAGCCGAAGGAGGAACTGTAAGGTAGGGGTGAGAAAGAAAACTACAACCAAGAAACAGTATCATTGGGTAAGTCTTTCATCAGAAGGGTTTCGGACTGCTCACGTAGCCCAGAAAGAAAAACAGCCGATCCTGGAATGGAAGAGGGAAGAAAATATTCTTTGAAGGAGGAGACCATGAAGGCAACCAACCATTCCGGGGTCTCTAGTCAGAAGACTCCATATGTGGCAATCCACTAGGGTGAAGATATTTGGGAAAAATATACCTACGTATCCATAGACAGGGGTGGGCAAAAGTAGGTCTACAGTTGTGAGTATGCGGGGGTTTATGCGTGTATTACTTATTATTGCATTATTGATCCGTGTTATGTAAACAAACGTCTACCCACCCCTGTATGTCAATGTGCACGTGTTTTCATACTGGCACCCACAGTAACTCGGTGTGTTTGCATTAGCACTTTGCAGATGATCTCTGTGACAGAGAAAACCAGCTCTGGTCCCACTAACTTTCCGTTCTAGCCGAGCATCTGTCCTCAGACTGCCTGCATTCGCACAGTCGGACTCGCTGGGTGCGTGTCCAGCAGAGACCCAGGCGCGGCCCGCACACCGCACACTCCTGCCTCTAATGAAAGCAAGGGGTCTGCACTGGAAGGCGTTTTTCCTTCCCCAGAGTCAACACACAGTTTTGTTTCACCAAATTGCTCACTGACCTTCTGTTGCAGTGGATTCTTGGTGGTTTTTCCCTACTTGATAGCAGAGCACGTGTAAAAGGAAATAGTTTTGAGACAGAGCACACCTGACTGAGCTACGGGGAAAATACATCAAAGTGAACAGTGCAGCCTGGTCTTTCCGGGGGCAGGAGGGCTGCTTGCACGGGAAGGGTGTGTGTGTGTGTGTGTGTGTGTGTGTGGTGTGTGTGTGTGTGTGTGTGTGTGTGTGTGTGTGTGTGTGTGTTATAGGATCTCAGAGCTGCAAGAGAGGCAGGTGTCCCTCTGCCCGCCTCCAGGGCACTAGGGCAGGTGCACCTGGCAGAATGCACCACCTCCGTCCAGGCTGGGCCTGCCTTGCTGCATGGACCAGGCCCGGGTTCCCGACTGCACCCCCCGCAGAAGCAGACTTACCCACAGGCAGACACCGGACCAGGGCTGACCAGGGGGGAAAATGGCCACGACTCCAAAATCTGACAAGTACTTTTTAACTTTAAGAGAAACCTGATACTCGAAGGGAGCCTTCCCTTCTCCCTGCCTTCCTCCCAACTGACAGTCTCTCTCTGGGTGAGAGAGTTCATCTTTCTGTGTCTGTTTGACAAGTGAAAACCGGCTAAGTGTGTTTTCCCCTAACTCCAAGCGGCCTGCACTGAGGAAGAAATAATGAACAGAAGACTGTCTTGAGCTCTTTGGACAAAAGGCATGAGATGAAGCATTATGGTAATGACGACCGGTACTGACAACCGTAATTCGGACCCCCAGGAGCTAGAATCCCTTCTGCTCTTCTGCTAACTTATCTTGATGAGCGTTACTATGATTTAAATGTTCTGGATGTGCGGTCACTCTGAATTTCTCCATTTGGCAAGCATGCCACATATCCATTAATTTATTTTTCCCCCCGCCCCCCAAACCCATTACTTTAAAAAAGAGCAATAGCTGTGGACTTTAATAATCCTCTCCATCTCCAATATTACTTTTGTAAATAACAAGCTTTTATGGGACACAATTAACACCAATCTCTTCCAATTAACTAAGACTTCAGCCTTAATCCACGCTCCATCAAATGGAGAGCTGGAATTGAAGAAGTGCATAGGCCCACAAGCCTGTACACAAATGTAGTTCAAAGACCAATATAATTGAGTGAGCCATTCAAAAATAAGAGAGGGGAGTTAGAGCTTTAGACTCTTCTCTGGCCTCTGGCTGAGCGTTTACAGCACCCGCTGACTCTGTGTCTGTGGTTGACCAGAACCACGGAGCGCTGACCTGTGTCCTAGGCCATGCCCTGTGCCCTGCATCTCCCCCCACCCCCACCCCCAGCACAGATGTGATGAGACCCGCTGGGCAGAAACCACCTGCGTAGGGAGCGCACCGGACGGCAGCCGGCTTTTACCTGAGCAGGACGGGCAGCACTGTCCCGGGCGGATGGTGGGGCTGCCGCAGGCGGGCACCGGGCAGGTGATGAGCGCGCACATCTCCCGGCCGTTGTGGCAGTAGCACTCCCGGCACCCGTCGTGCCAGCTCTCCTCGTTTTTATGGTGATGGCCGTCCATGGACAGGCACGTGCCGGACAGGGCAGGTGAGGTGGGTGACGCGGGGACCTCTGCACGGACACAAGGCAGCCTCGGTAAGGACGCGGCGACCGCACAGGGCGAACTGCCCGCAGCGTCCTCGCAGGGAACGCTGCCCAGCCACCCAACGCCCGTCTACAAGGACAGGTTACTCAGGAAAAGAGTTTCAATGAACATGCTCGCTATTTTGGAAAAAAACCAACAAAAAACCTGAAAGTATATTTCTGTCCTATTTGTGGGATTACAGGTGGGTTTTACTTCTTTCATTCAACTTCCTCATTTTTTATACAACAAACAAGCATTGATTTCACAGCAAATGTTGCCCACATGTTTAATATGTGCAGAACAATCGCTCTAGAAGTCACCCAGTGGGGGAATCCCCGGCCCCTGGCAGCTGACGCGGTTTTGGTCAGCAGCAGAGTTAAAGCAGGGACTAGATTTTTGTTTACTCTGACCCCTAAAAACACCATTAAGGTGATAACTGTCCAACTGTGAAAAAACAGAATGGAGGGATCTTTTATTGCTTCATCTGTGGATCATGCTGACAACTAAATCGCAGTGTGGGGCGGGCAGGGGGCTGGAGCTGGGGGAGGGCGGGAACGGTGCCTAGGCGATGCTCAGTGGCTTAGGACCGGCCCTGGGGTGGGAGGGAGTCCCAGACCAAAGGTCCCGTGATTCTCGCCTGTAACCATGACAGGCCGGCGTGTGCTTATGCAGCAAACGTCTAAATTCTCATGGAAACAATAAGGGGACTGTTCAGTCACACCCACCTGAGGGGGTCTGAAAAGGGATCTTTGCTGTCTCAACTGTATCCATCCACTGCGGACGGAGGGAGACTATGCAGGTCAAGACCAAGGTGCTTCAGGCTGAAGCTCTGAGACAAGTCAACCTGAAGAGCTGAGCAGTGGTCACCTCGGTCGGTGGGCCTGCCCTCTGTGCTTGCTCTAAATTCTATTGTGAGCTTTCCCTCTGTTAAGGTGACAGGAAAAGGGCAGGTCCCACAGAGAGGGACATCTGTGTCCGAGTAGACAGCAATCACCGAGACTGTGTCACTGACACGATGCCCTCCTGGCCCTGGCTGCCGAGCCCCTGGCCACTGTGGAGGGAGGGGTCACGGGGTCACGCGGTCACACCTACCTCGGCACCTGCAGGTAAGACAGCCGCGGCTGTCGTTCTGGAAACCCAAGAGGCAGGTTTTATTGCACGGGAGCTCTGGGCACTTCCTGCAGCGACAGATGTCACAGCCGTGCTTATTCTTCCTGAGTAATTAAAATTTTGTCAGAGGTCAGAAACATCCCAAAGTCTGGAGTGATGCCCAAGCACTCAGACCGAGGGCCAGGGACGCGAGATCATTACTAAGCGGGAGGACCTGACTTTTGCTCCCGAAAGCTCCTGGAGTGGTGTGCGATGAGCTCCCCGTGGCCGCGACCACTCCCACCCAGGCTCAGGCACGCATGTGCTTCTGGGACGTCAATGTCAGAACCCCAATCACAGGGCTGTCCATCTCATCAGGAGCAGTGGCACCACAGCGACACAGGGCGAATGTGCAACTCCGTGACCAGCATGGGGAGGGATATGCTGTGGGTCGGGGTTGGAGGACAGCGGTGGGGGCAGAGGTCCTTCTTTGGCAAGAGCCACAGGCTTCCTCCCATGACCACAGTCCCTGAGAAGCTGCAGCAAAATGCTAACGAGAGATCTACTTATGGACACTTATGGGAGGTGGAAGGCGTGAAGGATCCGTAGAGCTGGGATGTGACACAGGCTGACCGGCAGTAAGAGCCCTGAGAGACCCTGCAGTCAGTGTCCAGGAGCTGCTCTTAGGAAAGAGCACCCACGGGAAGAGGCGCTGCCCAGGGGTGTGGCAGAGGCATGTGGGGCAAAGGAAAAGGTTGAGGAACGTTTTCCCCCTTTAATAAGCTAGAGCGCCTAAGTCTGTGCCGACTGGCAAGATGATATTAAATAAGTGAGTATATGTTTATCAATATTATCACAGAGTTTAAGTGGAGAGTTTTCTGGGCAAATAATTCTCACCAATGATTCCTTTCTTTTTTTTTCTGAAAAAGAGAAGGATACTGCCTGTTACAGAAGGAGCTCACCCACTCTGCCTTCTGGCCACTGGCTGCAGGCCGGTGTCCTCTCTCAGGCCCAACATCTCATCTACAGGAGGAGTTACCCTATTTACACCCTCGGGGTTCATCCCAATTAGCCCTAAGTGGCAGAAGTGGTGTTTAACTTAAAAAGAAAAAAAACACCCCATTCTTTCTCATCTTGGGCCACGTAAGGGGCTCTACAACAAGACAGCCCTATGGGAAACCGTGGTGCCCCGCAGCTTACCACTCCTCAAGGGACAATTAAACTGCGATTTACTGGGCAAAATGGTCTACTTGTTTACTTTCACACAGTGAGGACAACGAATTAAATGAATTATTCATATTCATGTCATATACGGTGTCATTTTCAAGGCCTGCCAAGGCTTTAACTGATTTGTTTGCTCACTCACTTATTCATCCACTGCCGGCTCCTCCCTCCTCCGTGCTGCAAGCACTGACATGCAGGAGTGATCACCGGGCAGGTGTATACCAGCACCAATGCTGCCCTCATCCTCGCACTCCCCTGTGGTCTCTGGCAGGGTTTCCCTTCAGAGGCTGCCCTAGTGAACCAGCTACTGCTCTGGCTGAAGGGATACTCGTCGTCCACGGAGGTCAACTTGGTCCTCCCGGATGTGCTGACCGACAGGAAGACAAAGGGACGTCTCCAATCCTCTAGGCTGAAGGCTCGACTCGAGCGCAGCCTTGACCCTGAACTCATAACCCTGCACCAAGTGGCTGCAGCAACTATGATAACAATGCTCTACTCTACATTAGCAGCGAAGCTAAGAAATACCTTGACTATTATTGGCATCAGATTCATACTTTAGGATTAAGAACAATGATGATGAGTTTACTTGGGGAATTTTTAAGAATAGTGTTCCCAACTCATGCAATTAAATTTAGAATTAAGATTCCTCACCTCCTTGCCAAGCCAGAATTTCCAAGAATAATAAAAATGATGACGTTAATAAGATGGGCAAGATATGAAGGCGCTAAGTCCCTGAGAGGTAGTACTGTATAAATATATCAAATTGAAAAGGGAGAAAGACTAAGCAGAAGGGAACCAAGGAAAGATGGTAAGGTAACATTCTGAAAGGAAACTTTTAAAGGGACCAACTTCATATAAAGGCAGAAATAGATGCCAAGACAGACACTAGAGAACAAATGTGTCTATCTCCCCCGCCCTGGAATAAGCTGATTTCACGGGGTTTGGCTCAATCAAAAGTATTTGAAAATGAGAGTCACCATCCTCATGTTCAAGGAAATTCACAAAATCTACTGCTATATAAAGAGAAAAGCCATTATGAACTGTAGACTAGTACCAAGGTCAGACATGGAGGCACGGCCGGTGTGGGTGCTCAGTACTGCAGATGGGTTCCTGCCAGCCGACCTCCAGAATGGGTTAAACAACTGAGTCCCCGGGACACCTGTGAAAGGTACACGCACCTGTCCAGCCCCGGGACTCACGGCCCTCCCATCCCCTGCGTGTCCAAGGGCCCTGCCATGGACAGGTGGCCCGTAGCAGGCCCTCGGGCAGCGTCCTCACAAGGCACCTTCATGAAAGGGAAGAGTGAACTTGACTCTCATCTGGGGCGGCCCCAGGCTAGCCCTCCTTCCTGATCCACCTGACAAAACCAGCACAGACATTCTGGACTCCGTCCACAGCGGTTCAGTCGCAAACACACACAACAGCTGACAAACACAGGTACGTACAGACGTTTCACCAAGTTACACACAATTCAGAACAGATCTTCCGCAGTCAGAAATACGTACAGGTATCCAAACGGACAGCTCTTGTCACAGGTGGTGGGCCTGCACTTCTTGGGCCGGGGGCGGCACCGACAGATCTCGCAGCTGTGGGCGTCCGTCAGGAAGCCGAAGGGGCAGTCCAAGGTGCAGCCTCGCAGGAGGCCCCAGCACAGCTCCTCCCCTGCGGAGACACGACAGCGGGTTGCTTCCTAAGAGGACTGGGCAGAGCACCGGGCCGCCGGCCACTCCCCTGCCTTCCCGCCCTCCACACACACCCCTCCACACACAGTCTCCGCTCCGCCACAGCATCAGGAAGGGCTGCGATCCACAGAGCGTGCAGTGCTATGGTTATCACCACACAACCCCACGCTCTGGTACTAATATATACAAAATGAAGCCCAACCCTGAAAGCTGGATTTCTGAAGTATATATATCCTAACCGGGCGCTGAAGATCAGGCTGGTGAATACTGTTTGCTGTCTGAAAAAAACCTGAGCAAATTTTTTCATGAAATTTGATCTTATTAAACATCTCACACTACTGATTGCCATTTATTGGTCAAATGTGAGAATTAGAAACTTACACCCAAAATTTCATTATATATTTTGTTGCTACTGTATGACCATCATAACGCACATTCTTAAATGTTCACACATATTTACTCTGACAAGTTATCACATAATCCTGCCTATTATAGAATGAAGTGTAAAGGCTTTCTTACCCTTTTCTTTACAATATGACAAAATATTTCACTTAGCTGTTTTTCTCCGCTACTGATGAACATCCAGGTATTTGGATACACTTAGTTAAATGGCTAAAATAGATGTGTGCCGAAGGAATATCTAGATTAAGGTTTAACTGTGCACTGTTTGAAATGTTCAAAGTGTCTCCTATTAGTCAGTTTTAACTTATTGGTTTAGAAGTGTGTGTGGGGGGGAAGCAATGGTGATTGTCAGAAGAAACGACTACAGATATTAGCTTAAGTCTTCTAAAAAGACTGTAAAAGATATAAGGATTAACAGCATTATACAGAGAATACAAATGTGAAGGTAAAGAAAGCATGCTTTGGTGATGGAACGAAAGCAAGCTGAGACCTGTCTGAATTAACTGGGGAATCTGAGTGGTGGCAAACATCTGGGGATGTTTGATTATAGTTCTGCATGGGTTAGTTAAGATGGGAAGCAGAGACGATTGATCGTTGAAATAATAAATTAATCTTTATTGTTTTTGGACATCCTTTAAGCCTAAATATTATAAATAATGCACACACTACTAGGAAAAACAGAGCACATTAGTCCCTTCCACTCACAAATCTTCTAATCTAAAATTAAACCTTAACTACAATTAATAGGTGAAATGAGCTCATGTTTTTACGTAAGTGTTTTAAGATAGCATCTTTCATGAATCTTAGCTGGCGATACACGAATGTTTAATTTGCTATCTTTTAAAAAGGAAAATGTGATTTATGGTATAATTTTCTACTTTGTCACGATCATAAACCTTTCGTTACATGTGCTTAATACAACCTCGTGGGTCTGTATTACACTGTGAAACAACTAATTACTAATTTGCATCCTTAAGAGCCACATTTTAAATGCCTCCCTTAAAAATCTGTAATTATGTAACCTGAAAGGCCATCATTTTTCAACCCTCCCCCATTCCCGTAGGTAGGGAACGGAGACGGAGGGAGAAGACCTCACAGCCACACGTCTTTCTCTGACACCGAGACCCAAGTTGTGAGGCCATGTTTCCATTACAAGCATTTTTCAGTCACAACACCAAGGTGATTATATTGGGAACTGGACGAGTTAAAAGCACTTGAGAACTTCCCAGAGCCAACATCCCTGGGCATTCAATTCCTTGAAACTTCGGAGTCTGATCACCTTTGTGCCTTTATTTTTCTAGTCCTTTAGAAGAGGAGTCTTTCTGTAGACCCTAATCTAGAATGGGCTTCACCCTTAAAGAAAACTGTTGCATCGCCAAGTTAAAAGACATTTGATAGAAACTAATTCTGACTTTAACCACTTCTGCTTTGCAATGGGAGAGAATTTCAAGCAATGGCTGCTCCTTACGCACAAGTGGGCAGCAGACTCTGTGGTCTGCTCCCCACGGAAGGGGCTGGCGGATAGGGACCTATTTCCCTTATTTACACAACCCAGGTGCTGGCCTGGTGTGCAGCGGGGAGTGAGTGTTCAGCGTGTATTTGCAGAAGGGACCCATCAGTCAATGTCCTTGCTATTTACTCCTCCACTCTCATCCAGGCTGGCCATATTCACAGAAAAAATAACAGAATGAAAAAACTTACTTTAATAGTATTGGAAAATTTCCAAAATACTGGCACTTGTTAAATATCTCAAAATGCCACCTTTCTAGCTCAGAGACTCAGAACATTAAAGACGGCCTGGAAGGCAGTCCTAGATCCATGTAATAATTATGGACTTTTAAAAAGAGAAATACCCCATCGAGGCAAACATTTACATAAAGAGCAGAAGAAAGAGATGAGAAAGGTCTTATTCATAGATGGGTGGGGGTTTATAAGTCTGTCTGAAAAGCTGTAGTGCCTCACGTGAGGCGACCCCACAAAGAATGGTGGCTTCGTGGTCATAATTCAGCTTTATATGACTTCACTGTGATCTATAAATGCTTGGGAGATCGGCATTGAAGGGAAAGTTACAAATCATGGCCAAGTACAGGGCCTGTGCGTATGGCTGGTCGATAGCAGCTATATAATAAACTCTCTGTTTACTCTGGAGAAAAAGAGATGTTTGCTCGCAGGACCAAGATGCGGCCCCACTTTATTCTCAGTGAACACTTTGCAACTCACACGAGGGCACAAGGTGACGGCGCCCCCAGGTTCGCTACACTCCCCTGCTACCTACCTCGCCCTGGGCACTGGCAATTCCCATCAACCTGCCAGATCCATTAAGTGCGACAGAAAGTTCCTGAAACTATTAAAGAAATGCACCACTGTCAATGGGGCTCCATCTGTGACCCTAAGTGGTTGCTCAGTTACACTCAATAAACACGGGGAGCCCGCCTCCCTAATATTGGATGCTGCAACCGTCTGTAGATGCCTGATTGATAGATAAGCCATAAAAAATACGAAGGCTTTTCCTCCCTGCTACCCCCATTCATTTTCTATGTTTGCATCCGTTTCTAGACTAAAAGCATTATGAATTCCTAGAATTACAGCATGTTAAAAGTGGAGAAGTTGTAAATATTCCAGCCAAATGCACTTGATTTGAAGATGTAGAAAATAAGATGCCAAAAGATGAATGGCACTTGATTCACATAGATGTCACCTGTGCATATAGTTCAGCTAGTGAGCTGAAGCTGACAGCAACGAACATGTCTAGTTAAAAAACAGTGTTATTAATAGTCTCACCAATACTGTTATTAGTAGCTTATCCAAATGATCTAATGTTTGTTGCCACTGAACTTTCCTAAATATCTCCCACCCCATTCCTCTTTATTTTAAATATGTCCTTGAGAACATGAGTCAGGGGTAAATTTCTCTGTGTGCACTCGATGCACGACTTCGCTTAGCGGTGTAAAAAGAAGGGCATTTGTTAGCGGTCCAGAGGAAAGGATCCTCTGCCATCCCTGCCGTGGACTCTGAAGGACATGTTTCTACTGGGGTTTGGTTTCAATCTTAGAAGTAACTGTCTATAATATGCTTGATTATGTTGCAATATCATTATAACATATTAGCATATTATCAATATCACCAACAGTAGTCAAGATAAGGTCCATTTTTATCTTTTTCATATCCCTCGTGCTTGGCACACAGTAGGCACTCAACAAATGCAAGATGAATGGAAGAAAAAAATGAATGAGTGAACAACAAACCAATGAACAGGACAGAAGTATTTACTCGGTGCTTCTCTTATTCTAGGAAACCTTGATGCCAGCGGCCTATAGACACAGGCATGATCCCTAACAGAAAGCTTAGGCATCAACGGTTAGGACCCTTGCACATGAACAGGCTTGTGATGGGATGCAGAAAAATAACATGTGGGAGACATTTAGACAAAATCATTACTTATCAGGTGGCTGCAACGGGGAAAAGAACACACTCGTGCCACCCTTCATGACAAGAAACTTCCTTTTTTCCTATAATTGGGTAAGAGAAGGAGAATATTCGAGGGTTTGCATGGAAAGCCGTGTGTGAGTGTCCGGAGACAGGAAGGACTGGAGGCAGGCTGGTGCTGGAACAAAGGCGGGAAGCTGGGGGCTGTCCACGTCAGCTTGCTTGGGCTGACTCAGAAATGGATGCTATAAAACAGCCACGGGCTAGAGGAAACAAGTGCCGTGTCGGTGAGTGATGCTAGCACTGCATGCATTCCCTTAGTCCTCAGAATAACCCACTAGTTAGGCATGATTACCTGCCCTTCACAGAGAGGGAGGGCAGAGGCCCGGGGAAGTAAGGAAGGCCACTTGCTGTGATCACTCAGAGGCCAGAGCCTGAGGGAGCGTGGGGTGCACACAACCACAAGAATCTGACAGCCACAGACCTGGCATACGGTTAAACCTGACTCACCTCCCAAAGGTGTGGCTTGCAAACACGCCGAATCATCAGGATTGCTGCTGGGAGGGGAGGGGGCAGAATGCTCTAGGACTAGACTTCTGACACTAAGGTCAGACTGACAAATTCCACGTGGTGTTTAGTTATATTTTTAGGTAAATGGACGGTGGCAGTGAGTGAGATGGCAAAAGACTAATCCAGGTCGAGACTCTCAGTGCGATGAAATGGATTCGTGGTGAGCACGGCGAATCCACAGACAAGAAAGATGTCCAGTGGCATCCCTAGTTCTAATGGCTCCTGCTCATTCACAAACCAACACCTGCCGTGCTCCGAGCCCCGAGCCCCAGCCCGAGGGTGGGCTGGGAGAGGAGCCAGCTACTGCCGTACTCTGGTGTATACAAGTGACTGGATTCTCACAGGACCGAAGCGTCCTCCTAATAGAATTTGGCTTGAAATGCTATTTCATTAGTGTGTCAGGTACTGATTTCTTTGCTTGGGGCAGGCCTTTCAGTTTATTCATCTGTATGGCATGAACACCTACTACAGAACCTAGAACTCGGCAGGTGTTGTCTATACCAGGCAAAGGAAGAGGGAGGGAGGAGGGAAGAAAGACTAGATAGACAGCCTTACACATCGGTAAAATTTGCAAAGAAATGAGTGGCTAGTAAAGATGTCTATGTAAAACCAACAAACAAACAAACAAAAAAGACAAGATGCAACGGTCTGGTCTTCCTTACATCTGTCTTCCTACGCGTTAATGAAATGGAGGAGCAGATATTCCTCGTAGGAAGCCAGCATGCAGCACTGGCACGAGGCAGGCAGAGCAGAAGTTTCCCAATGGCCTCAATTTACAAAAAGCCAGAGAGATGCTGGTGACTGGCCTTGATGACAACTGGGAGAAGCTGCTTCTTCGGACGTCACCACAAAGGGCTCATTGTGGAGTGGCGGGTCTCACGTCAGCATGACCCCGGGGACACAACGTTCCTGACAGAAAAGCCCAGGTGAAGGCGGCAGGTGGGGTGACTAAGCACAATGACATCTGTATTTTTTAGGCTTCAAAAGTTCAGAAAAAAATGTCAGTACCCTCCTGTGATCAGAAAGGATGTGTCCCTCAAGAGAGATAAGAAGGATTAAAATATAAAGGCCTCACACACAATCGCTGATTACCTTGTCAAAAAACAAAGTGGGCCATTTAAATAAACAGACGCAGCTGCCAAGGCGGCTCCCTAATGCATCGGGTTTGGCTATCAAAGGCCGAGAGGTGCGTGCCCGACTGCCTCCTCCGGGCAGAAACACTGCAGGATGGCCCCGATGACTGGAGGCTTCCGGGAAATTTGCACCTGGCAATACCATAGTCACAACCACAGTTCTATCAACTCCATTTTAGTGCCAACTCCACCAGGCTGACAGAGTGACAACTTGCAATTAAGAAAACCGAATTACTCAACTCCTACTTTGTATCCGCGTATCAAAATAGCCTCACATCGGAAAGTATGGGTCAGTAAAGGCGAAGAGGCAGAAAGCCTGAGATAGTGGCTAAGTCAGGTGAGCCTCCATCTGCACTGAGGAATCCCAAGTCTCTGAGCTGGGGGTAATCACCCCCCGAGGCCCAGAGAACCTGCTGAGTACGGAAGCGTTGTCTGCCTGCTGAGTACGGAAGCGTTGTCTGCGTTTAGGAGAAATCAGAGGGAATGGAGGGAAGGAAGCCCAAAGGTCAGTTCAGAAAAAGACAGAGGATTCTAAAACGACAGAAACCGAGCCTGACATTCACAATGGGACATTCTGCAGGAAGAATGGTTAAACGTGTGGTTTGTGACATTTAGAAGAGAAAGGCCTGGCCACCAGGAGCCAACGTAGGTTCAGGAAGAAGGAGCCGGGCTCCACTGACTTCATTTTCTGTTTAAAATGGGGTTTCCAGCAAAGGGATGCTTCCAGGACCAGGTCTGATTTCAGACAAGATCCTGGTCGAGTGTTTCAAGACTTCCACGTGGAGATGGAGGCGACGTGTCGTTTTGCAGGAAGGTCTTTAGAGCGACAGGAATCTGCCCTTCGTTCTGTTCAACTTAATTTTGGTCCAGTGTTTTGGAGGAGGACATGTAAGTGATGCTCATTTAATATAAGCTGGAGGCATTGAGGTATTCGATCAGATGACCAAGAGTAAAAAAATATCCCAACTAGTTGGAAAACGGTTTGAAACTCTCGGGATAATTTCTTGTCAAATGTGGCCTCGTATTTATGTCATTAAAGAAAAAACACACACACCGAATGTTCAAATACAGAGCAGATGAGAACCACCTAACAGCAGCTGATGTAAGGAAAGCAGCAGGAGCTCCAGCAGCTGATGACCTAGTGTAGTGGTCGGCAAACTGCGGCTCGCGAGCCACATGCAGCTCTTTGGCCCCTTGAGTGTGGCTCTTCCACAAAATACCACGTGTGGGCACGCACGTACAGTGCAATTGAAACTTCGTGGCCCATGCACAGAAGTTGGTATTTTGTGGAAGAGCACACTCAAGGGGCCAAAGAGCCGAATGTGGCGCTCGAGCCGCGGTTTGCCGACCACTGACCTAGTGTGAGGGAACTGTGTGATGAGAGCAAATGCAAATGCAGGCCACACTGGAACTGCACCGACCAGGCCAGATTCTGGCGCATTTTGTGTGTTTCTGGGCCACACGTTTATATAAGGACAAGGACATACTCTAAGTGGGTCAAAAGATGGAAAGGACCAAGGGAGTTCTAGGAACGATATTGCCTGGGGAGTGGCTGAGGGCACTGAAGATACTGACTTTGGTAGAAGAACTAGGGGCATTCATAATCATTTGAAACGTGAAGGGCGATCGGTTGTGCGTGCAGAGGAAACGTAACAGACTCTATCAAGTGTCAGAGGTCTCGCTCGGGGACGTGACTGGACTCCACATGGAAGTGAGCTGGAACCACACAGAGAAGCACATCCTAAGGGTCATGACCGCCGCACACGGAGTGTGACACCCTGTGTGGGTGACCTCCTGGTCCCTGGGTGGCCGAGCAAGGTGATGTTAGAGGGAGAGCAACGGGGAGGTTAGAAAGACATACTCAGGGCTCTGAGGGCAGTACCCATGATGCATCAGAAGACAGAGAAATGAAGATGAAAAACAGAATAAAGAAGCAGCGTCTTGGCCTTTCTATTTCGCCCCCCATGGCTGTGTATTTGTCTGTGTTCAGTACAATTTTTTCTTCTTCTTTCAGGTTGCTCAGAGGATGTCATGGACGGCAAAAGATAGTCAATCACATAATGTGCTTTGACAATATCCTACCAGGCTCAGAAAAAAACAAAAACCTGTCTCCCGTGTACTTACTGCTTTTGCACTGACAAGTTCGACAGCCATTGTGGTCAAGCTTGAAACCGTAAACGCAGTCCTTCTCTGTCAGGGTGCAGTTGGGTAGCTCCCCGCACGCTGGTGGATCAATTGTGATGTAGGTTGGTTCTAATCATAAAAAGAGAGAGAAAGTCAGTGAAACATGATTATCTCTTAGAAGCTATTCAGTCTTTGAAATTCCACAGTGCAGTAAATTAACAAAAAACTAATCCATTTTCATCAAATCCTAAACTTTCAGTCTTTTTAAAAATTGAATCTAGAGGCTACATTGGTTCACAAAAATCATACAGGTTTCAAGTGTACGACTCAATAAAACATCATGTCTTTAACCTCTGAAAAAGAAGGTTTTCAATTTAGATTTTTGACAATCCAAGAGCTCTATTTCTTTATGTGTGAGCAACTTCCGCATTTTTGGGTGCCCTCACACAATGCTTCTCTGCGGGTCACCACTACGGGAAGCAGGTAAGAGAGGGTAAAGTGGACTCCATTTAAATTGTTAACTGCTCTTCTACTTCTTCCTGATGTTTTCTGAGTTTACTTTTTTATGATAATCAAGACACTGCTCCCAACTGTCAATGATTTCACTTTCCATTTTGCAACATTTCTGAAATGTTAGCTTTTTTTCAAGTCAGTAACTCAGAGATGTTTGAGGCTAGCTTGAAACACCTAGATTTCTTTCATCTTTCATGCGACTGTCCTTATATGGATGGTACCATGGGCCACAGGGCCTAGGAGCTTCTACTCAGGGCCTCGGCTTATGCGTGTGGCAGAGTGAGACACAAAGCCTTTGAAAAGAAGAGCGAGCAGCCACCTGGGAAGAGATACATAGAAAAAAAACAAGGTGGGGCGATGCTTTACCTCCCCTGCCATATAAACTATGAAGAATTGTTCTGGGCAGTAAGAATACAGTGTACTGTGTGTCTACATCATGTTTCCAGCGCTCTTCATTCAACGCCTTCGAGCTTCATCACATTCCAATGAGATGGGTGCCATCATTGGTCCCATTTCACAGATGAGAAAATCCCGTACACCGGCTTGCCCGAGGCCTCAGCGTTAGTAAGTGGTGGAGCCAAGATTCAAGCCCACGCATTCTGGCTCCAAGGTCGCACGCTCTCGGCCTCTGTGCAATACAAAGCCCGCCGCATTGGCTTCTGCTTCGCAGTGCAGGGTTTGGCCCCCTAGGTTGCCAAAATACTTGGGGCGCGCCAGTTGAAAAGCATTGCCCTAGGATGTCATCCTAACGCAGTGATGGTGAACCTATGACACGCGTGTCAGAGGTGACACGCGAACTCATTTTTTTGGTTGATTTTTCTTTGTTAAATGGCACATAAATATATAAAATAAATATCAAACATATAAATCTTTGTTTTACTATGGTTGCAAATATCAAACAATTTCTGTATGTGACACAGCACCAGAGTTAAGTTAGGGTTTTTCAAAATGCTGACACACCGAGCTCAAAAGGTTCGCCATCACTGTCTAACGCCATAAACCTAGGGACAGTTTATGTCGCGCCAGACTGTGCTGAGAGTGAGGTCAAAGGGAAGAGAGACACTCGCATATTTATGGAGCCTCTTTTCAACCCAAAGATACTCTAAACGTCTTCAGTGGACGCTGGTTCTCACAGTATTTTTTAAAGAGCTGAGTACAGAATGTCTCTACCTATGTTTTCACAAGTGGAAAATATGAGCTGCAGAGAGGGTGACTGGCTTCTCCAAGTTTACATAGCAACCCCGGAGCAGGCTGGGAATAGAACAGCACAGAGGTTCCCGACCTCCTGCCCAACACTCTATCCACTGGTCCACACTGTCTCCTCGAGTTTCATCCCCCGTTACCATGGCAGGGAGACCAAAATAAGTGTTCCAGCGGCCACTGCTACGATCAAGATTTCTAAATTCCCATCCGTCGTCTAAAAGGGGCCGGTGACTCAACTCTCCACAGGTCGCAACAATGACTTTTTAGAGAGAAGCTCTGCTCAGCATCCTCCCACTGGAAATTCTTATGAAGAAGGCACGGCACATTCTCCGTTTTTATCAAAGCGCAGTTTGGAGACCAGCTCCCTGAAATTTTATGTAAACATTCCAATGCTGTAAATTTTCTAATTTCCTTCAATGATGAAAGCATCCCTTATGACAGAGAACTTTAAACATCAAAAAGTAGTTTAAGTTTAGGCAAGTTTTAGGAGGTTAGTGGATTAAATACAGTAATACTGCTTTCCTACATTCTCTTAAAAAATGCCATAAACATCTTCGGTTTTGAAACTCATGTAGTTTTTTTCTTTTATCACTGCACTTATTAGCCACACAAACTACTGATTCTATTTCAGCCTTTAGCCACGAGACTGCCAAGGTTTTGTCAAAATTATTCTAACCACAAATATGAGAGAGAGCAGAGAACCTACCACATTTAAAGATTCCACACCACAGATTATTCCACTGAGGAAGGCGTTAGACAGTGATGGCGAACCTTTTGAGCTTGGTGTGTCAGCATTTTGAAAAACCCTAACTTAACTCTGGTGCTGTGTCACATACAGAAATTGTTTGATATTTGCAACCATAGTAAAACAAAGATTTATATTTTTGATATTTATTTTATATATTTATGTGCCATTTAACAAAGAAAAATCAACCAAAAAAATGAGTTCGCGTGTCACCTCTGACACGCGTGTCATAGGTTCGCCATCACTGCGTTAGGATGACATCCTAGGGCAATGCTTTTCAACCGGTGCGCCCCAAGTATTTTAAAACACGCAATACCTGACGATTTACTCGTGGGAACAGACCTCTTTCCCCTTAGGTTGTCAAATTAAAAAATGACAACAGCCGGCACAACAATAGCCACCCAGTGTCAATGAATCAAAATTATACCTATTTTTTTGGTCAGATGGGCAAAAAATATTTATTTTTGGTATGCAGCAGACTTTTAGTAACTTTATGTGCGCTGTGAGAGAAAAAGGTTGGAAATCGCTGTTCTAGAGTCATTAGAGTGAGGATGAGGGTGAATTCGGAAAGTCCAGTGCTGTAGCAAATGGCTTATCCATAGAGACCAAAACCTTGTATTCTTTACTAACATTGGGGTTTATGAGAAACTTCTGCCTTCAAAAATGTATTATAGAAAAATATATATTTGGGCAGACTACATTGACACTGAAAATTCAGAATAACCGCAGGGCAGTATGGAATTTTACTTTGAGTGAAGTTCAGGGATTTGTTAAGAGAGTTAATAGTGATGTATGTGCTATTTTGGGGCACATCTCCTGATTACTGGATGGGATTAGGATTATGATCTGTGGCCAGAAAGAAAAGGAAAAATTAATTGGCTGCCTGAGGATCAGAACCTCAACAGTGAGAACAGTCCCACGTTTTATCCAAGCAGCTACATCGGTAGCTCGGTTCTCCGGGAGAGGAAACACCTTCAGTCTTTCCCTGCAACATGCAGGATAACGGCTTTTGCTCAGTTTAACAAATGAAAAAACGTACATAGAAGGGCTGTGGCGTAGGCACTGATCTTACAACGCTGCCCTGTAAACATTTTAGGTAAAACAAGTCCTACTGGGTGTCTTCCGGGCCCCAGAAGAAGTGGTAGAATGCAAGAAGCCAAAAACCATGTAGTGCCTCTAAAATTAGTATTTCCCCATTCATTTATGATGCACACGACACGGAAGCAATTGGGAAGAATACGCATTTCAAATTCTAATTCCCTCCGTATTTCATATTAAAACAGAGGAAAAAACTCAACAAAACTCACAGAAAACCTCAAAACTCAACAAACATGTATTCACGAAAAGCGTCCATTTGCTCTGGAACTATTCCATTTCCTTTCAATCGATCAGGCTGAACACAACAACACTCGCTGTGATAGAGTAAATCTAGACAGAAGTCTAACTTAAAAAACAACATTCGAACCCTGCAGTTACTATGTTTAACAAATAAGTATTGCTTTCCTTTTCAAATACACGCTGGAAGAAACTGTACAAGCCTCTGAGGGGGAGATGCACGTTAGGGGTGCTCCTGCCGCCGCCCCAGGTCACTGCAGCCACTGTGGGCGTGTAACAGACACACACGCAGGCAAGCGGCCGTCTCCTAACGGTTTATCTGAAGTCATACATGACTGTCTACCTCCTTCCATCAGTCTCTCGACGTTTTAGTGTTCGGTTTCCTACCGTGTTAGGCCATGTATCTATGTTAGATTTCGGTTAAGAATAATATTACGACAGAAATATGCAACTATAAATTTTCTAGCAAAACTCTGATATCATCGTAAGCAGATCTGGGTTTGTTTTCAGTCCCATCTATTAATATGTAACCTCAAAACTGGTCATATTACTTTTGGGGGCAATTTTTTAAAGAAAGAAGTGGCGTGAAACTCCTGAAATTCATGATCTTATTTCAGACAATGAACGCCAAACGGAGACACATTTGATACCATCCTGAATTAGAGCCTTTAAAAATCAACATTGCGCTTACAGTCCTTAAAGAGTAACGACCAAGAGCTGGCTAGCGTCTTCGCACAGTTGCTATCCAAGGAAGGTCTTGGTAGGGAAGGAGTCATTTTAAAGAATCCAGAATCACGGAGCCACAGTTGGCTTGTTTCTAACCTAGCTACAGAAAGAAACTGGAGGACGTGCCCGTGAGAGCGCTCTGCAAGCTGTGCACCAGGAATTGTTATCATCCCACACTTTCTCTAGTCTCTGCAACAGTGCTCTGAACACGGAAACTATCCCGACGGGGCTCGGCCTGAGCACCAGAAGATTCTCATTTAAATCCTACATTTCGCTGCTCTTCTATTACATGGGGTACGGTACTGAAATGCTATGCCAGAGAATAGATGCCTTTCTACAAAGACCGAGTGATGACTTGGGTGATTATCAGTTGAACGAGATTCTGGATAAGACTCTTGGAGACATGGATGCATCCCTGTATGGGAGGCCTGCTGCTGGCAGCAAAGAAAACTGTCCCCCTTTACACTGGTCTTGCCTGTCCTCACTTAGGAGGACGAGGGGACGCCTGCACAAGGGCGGGATTAGGTGAGGGGAAATTCCACTTGCTTCCAGGATCTCCCTGAAATTCCACCTCCTCTTGAGCTGAGTCAGCTGAGTCCTCCACAGG